CCCCCGGCGCGGGCCCCTGTGCGGCTCCGTCTCCTCGATAGCGAGATATGTATAGGAACCATGGCGTCCACATCTCCGTGTGCTTGGTCCCTCTTCCCGTTACAATAGCATGTGCTTCTTCTGCTCCTTGGATCTCTTCCACTCTACGGATCCACTCTTTTTTGGTCGGGATTTCACTTTTTTTCCAATGGACTGGAATAGTGGCCTTGGCAGCATTAAGCAGGTGTCGTAGTATCGATTTCTTATATGATCTTATGGGTTGTGTCGAGATGTGTAGCAATGCCAATTCCGTATTCCATTCCGGTAAGTCTCCCAGGATGATCGTCACTTCTTCTCTAATCATTTGCCAGAATGGGATGATAACCCTGCATTCCCACCATATGTGCAGTACTGTGCCGCGTGTTTCCTGGCATCTCCAACACATCGGAGGAATTGAAGGGAATATGCGGTGCAGAAGAACTGGTGTTCTATACCAGAAAGATATCAACTTATAATTCATCTCCTGGTAGTATGAGCTCATAGAGCTCTTATGCTGCCAGAGCAACGCCGTATCCCATTGCTGTGTTGTAAATGTTATTCCTAGTTGTTCTTCCCACTGCCTTTTGAACGTAGTAGCCGTAGGGGTGCCTCCGATTAGAAGATGTTGGTATAACGCTGAGATGGCATGTTCTATGTTGGTGCCTCGGTCGCAGAGGCCCTCAAACCACGTGAGGTCTCTATGCAAGCGATCTTTGTGCGGGAAGGAATCGTAAAAGTGTTTCAGTTGTAGATATCTAAATTGGAGGATAGGCGTCCGTGGTCTATCGCCTAGCATCGAGGGGAGGTCTCGCATCCTCCCGCCTTCGAGTGCCTTATGTATGGGTATGTATGCCCCAGTATCCTGGAAGGGAAATGCTGCAGGAGGGAGTCCCCCCCCAACAGCTGTGTTATACGTGATCGGTATCATTGGGCTGGGTATAGGGGACACGTGGTCTTGAGTCCTCAGTGTTTTCCATCCACATATTGTCTGTAGGATCAATCCCTCCTCCGCCGAGCGGGAGGGCGATCTTTCAAGATCCCCCCAGATTTTCGTCTCCAACGTTGGTCCAATGAGGCCCCTGTCGAGTACCACCCATTGTTTAATTTCCTGTGTTGCGTGCCAATCCAGTACGCAATGCATGATCGTGGCCTGATGATATTTCCTAAAATCTGGAAGCGCTAGTCCTCCGCAGATTCTAGGTCGGCAGATAATGTCGTGTCTAATCCTGGATCTTCCTCCTCGCCAGACGAATTTGATCACCGCCGTTTTCAGGGTGGAGAAAAAGGTTGGAGGTAGTACGAGGGGTATGGTTTGCATGAGGTATAGGATTCTCGGGAGGATATTCATTTTAATCACCGCTATCCTCCCGTGCCATGTTATGTTAGGGTGAGACCACTTGGACAGGTCTGCGAGTATCCTCTTTAATAAGGGTGTAAAGTTATAGTGATATATATTCCCCGGGTTCGTGGTTACCCAGATGCCCAGGTATTTCATCTTGTCGTGGCACCAGTGGAACCCAAATTCCGGTTCTAAAGAGCGGTATTCATCTGTGGGGATTGTTAAATTCAGGACCTCGCATTTCGAGATGTTAAGTTTAAATCCCGATATCTGGCCAAATCTATTAAACTCAGAGAGAAGGCACGGCATAGTGATCCTAGGGTTATGGACAAAGAAGAGGAGGTCATCTGCGTATGCGGCAACTTTGTGCTGTACTCCCTGCCAGTTATATCCTTGTATGTCCGGATTCTGGCGGATTGCCTGTAATAGTGGCTCCAGGGTCATTGCAAACAGCAACGGTGACAGTGGGCATCCCTGCCGGGTCCCATTGTTGATCGCGAAGTCCGCTGTCGTAGCCCCATTGATCTGCACCGATGCGCGCGGTTTGCTATAAATGGCAGATATCCACGTGAGGAGTCTCTGACCACAGCCTAGTTGTTTCAGTGTTGCCAGCATATATGTCCAATTGACCCGGTCAAATGCTTTTTCTGCATCTGTTGATAACAATAGCAACTGGGTCCCCAGTTTCCTCGCGTGGTGTTGGATAGAGAAAAGTCGTAGGGTGCTGTCCCTAGCTTCTCGACCTGGGATGAATCCCGTCTGGTCCTCGTGTATCAAATCGGGGAGGAGATGTTTTATTCTGGTCGCTAGTGTTTTCGTGAACAATTTAGCGTCCACATTTAGTAGCGAAATCGGTCGATAGCTGCTGCAATGAAGTGGATCTTTCCCTGGTTTAAGTAGGACTGTAATGATGGCTGATAGGGACTCCCCACCCAGTTCTCCCCCCTCACCAACCACGTTGAGTGCCTTGGTGAGCCAGGGCAACAGTATTCCCGAGAAGGTTTTATAGTATCCCGTGGAGAAGCCGTCCGGACCAGGAGCCTTGCCAGTTTTAGATGACTTAAGGGCTGCGGCTAATTCTTCCACTGTGATTGGTGTGTCCAGTTGTGTTGCCGAGTCTTGATTGATTGTGTTTGTGATTGTGTTGGATAGGTAGTCCTGTATTTTCTCAGTTTCTCTCGCGGCTTCGGTGGCCTCTTTAGGCGCATACAAATTGTAGAGATGCTCGTAAAAGGCCCGAAATTCCCCAGCGATTTTCTCAGGAAAGGGGGAGATCTCCCCAGAAGCCAGGCGAATCCTGCGTATTTGTCTATGGGGCAAAGGACCTTTCAGCAGTTTCGCCAGGTATTTACCTCCTTTATTGGCGTGTACGTAGTAAAAGCTCTTTGTGCGTTGTACGGCTCGAAGATGCCTTTTCAAGATTAGGTCTTTGAGTTTTCGTCTGTGTTCCATCAATTCTCCGTAAACTGCATTTAGCTGGGATCGTTTGTGTTGGCGTTCCAGGGTCGATATAGAGTGGTACAAATCCACCATTTCATGCATAAATGCCTTCCGTTTCCGAGAGGCGATGCGTATAAGTTCACCGCGTATCACACTCTTGTGGGCTTCCCATATGGATATTGCGGAGGTCTCTGGAGAGTCATTTTCCCTAAAGTATTGTTCCAGTGCTTTTTGAATTTGTTCCTTGGTATTTGGATCTAGCAGTAGAGCTTCGTTAAGTCTCCAGGTCCACGCCTTTGGTCTGTACAGGGGTGAGTCCAGTTCTATCTCGACCGATCCATGGTCTGACCAGGTGCCAGTCTCGATCTTAGCTCCGCGCAGGTGGGAAAGTCCTTCCTGAGCAGTAAGGATATAGTCTATACGGGAATATCGATCGTGAAGGGCGGAAAAGTAGGTGAAGTCCTTCACTGTGGGGTGAAGCGTTCTCCAACAGTCCACTAGCCTCAAGGCCTCCAACGACTGTCGTATGGATCTAATGTTATGTTGTGAAATGCTGCTATGACCTGTAGAGGAGTCCAGTGTAGGATCGAGTGGGGTGTTGAAGTCGCCTCCTACCAAAAGTATCCCATCCGTGAAGTCCTCCAGTTGTTGTAACACATTTCGGAGGAATGGGGCCTGCCTTTTGTTGGGCACATAGATGGTTGCTATTGTGTATATCCTGTCTGCTATGGTGCCTTTAAGAAAGAGGTATCTTCCTTGTGAGTCTTGTAAATGTTCTAGTTCTTTGAACTCCAGCTCAGCGGCTAATAGTATGGCAACTCCAGATTTATGAGCCGTCGGATGGTTGCAGAAGTAGTTGTTAGGATAATGCTTGTTCCGTATTCTTGGGGGCGATCCTTCCTTGAAATGCGTTTCTTGGAGCATTGCTATCGCTACGTGTTTTTTCCTCAATTCTCGTAGCAGGTGTGTCCTACGTTCAGGGATGTTAAGTCCTCTGCAATTCTGTGTGATGATCTTCAAAGGTGCGCTTTGGTAGGTCATTATCTCTGTGTACGTCGGGAACCTCTTCAGACCAGTGCCGGACCCGTAGTCTCTCCCAATGCTCCGCCGTCCCAAGGGGGGACCACGCGTCCGAGGCACAGGATGGGCCGAGGTGCGGGGGAGGGGCAGGGGAGGTAGGTGGAGGGAGGCGAGGGTTAAGTGTATGGGAGGGAACCGTGAATAGGGGGTTGCGGCCGATGCGACAAGTCCGGGGTCCAGGGCCCAGTACCCGAGTATGGAGCTGAATGTGTTGTGTGAGATTTAAGATCGAAAAGGGGGTGTTTACCCTTCAGTGTAGGTATCCCCTCGGAATCCGGTAATGTCCCAGATCCGTAATCCCTCTACAGAGTAGGGGGAGGTCTCGCGCAGTGACCAGCGCTAACAGGCGCCCACTCTGGTACCAGCCCAAGAGACGAGACAACCCGTAGCCTGGCCACAGACCTCTTAGCGCGAGTGTATGTGTTAGGGAACGTGACTCGAGCTCCGCCCAGATAAGGTGTCTAAGAGTATACATGGGGTTCTCCTCTCCGCCGCGACCCCCAAAATCATAGCTGAGTGAGTGGCAGCAGCTAACATGTATTGTGTATTCATATTCAAGGCATTTAAGCATTAACATCAAATTAACAAATTAACATATTTACAAGTGTCACGATTAAGATAGCAGTTCCTTAATCCAGAACGTCCCGTCATTCCCCATTCGCTTCTCCCCCAGCAGCGAACATCCCTCCCGCGTCCATTCGCACCGGTCGCCCCACGTCAACCTCCCCTATCTACCGGGTTGTGGAGTGATGGCTTTCTCAGATCCAGTATTGGTGTTGTGTCATGGTTAAAGCACCCTGACTCGTCTTAAAGCTATAACTATCCCCAGAGCTCCGGCTCCCATGATCATGCGCAAGTTATTCGATACTCACTTCCGTCATTTCGTCCCTATTCTCTCCAGTACCTATATGGGGGGGTGAGGGGGGAAGGTGCACCTAAGTGTGTTGGTATCTGTAAGTGAGGGCTGAATAGGATGCGTAGCTTGGATTAAGCAGGCAGATGCAAGCGGGTATGTGCAGCCTATACTAGTCAGGGCTTCGAACTATCTGTGTGTCTGCGGTACTGTAAGCACTGAGGTCTAGATTATATACCAGTCTGCGTGTCCTCCTTGTTTTCCCCCTATGGGACCGCTACTTCCCGTTGATACAGTGGGGTCCGGTTGGTGTTCTGCAAACTATTTCTATCTGATGCCTCTAGGAAACAATGGGCCTGTACAATTAGGAATAGCAGTAAATATGATTCAGTCAGCGTCAGGTTATATTAGCATGCATCATTAACAGTTAGAAATATTCCACTCTACCCCACTTCCCATCCAGCTCTCCCCCGGCTCCCTGGATCAAAGATACCCTTTCTTAAATGCAAGTGTCCCAATTTAGTGTCCTCATTCGTGGGGGGTCACCGTTTTTGCGTCCAGGATGCCTGAGTTTGTGCTGAATATCCAGTCAGGCAATCGGTATCTGCTGTCCAATGCCCCCTTATGACCCTCTCCCCCCCCCCCAAAGTATCTTGTGCCCACCCCGTGTCGGGCAACAACCATGGTAGAGAGTCAGGGGGTGGCCCAGAGACCCACCCGCATGCCTGCTTCAGGTGGGTGTCAGCTCCCGTGTGCGCCCTTAAACCCAGGATCTCCCCTCCCAAAGCTCCATGTCCCGGAACATTAACCCAAAGTACCTGTGGGTGTGCCGTGCGTTCTTTTCATCTCGACATCAGGGGGTAGAAGTGGGTTGCGTGCGATAAGCGATTGGGGTCCAGCCCTCCAGGGACGATGCGTGAACAGGAAAAGCTGGGTGCCGGTGTGGGTGTGTTAGCCTGGGGCGATATACGGTGGTCTTGGACGCAGGCAGGCATGCTGATCACTCCTCCGGGGAAGTCGGGTCTCCACGTCTTCCGCTGTTGTGAGCCGGATGAGTTCTCGCCTCACGCTGTCTGGGCCCTCTTTGTGGTCTGGGTTGCGGCCCCAGTGTCCCCAGGATCCAGTTGGGGACCGACTGAGAGGGGAGGCCCAGTTCTCCCATAAACCGTGGTACCTCCTCCGGCCATCTCATGGTGATCCATCTATTTTGGTGTCTAGCCGTTAGTGCAAAGGGGAAGCCCCACTTATATGGTATATTGCGGTCTCGCAATGTCGCTGTAACCGGGCGGAGGGCTCTCCTTGCTTCCAGCGTTATGGGGGATAAATCATTATAAAGCGAAACCTGCGCTCCCCTAAAGGGCCAATTCTGTCTTTCCCGGGCCTTGGCCATGATGGCGTTCTTCACCGGGAATGAGTGTAGGCAGCATATTAGGTCACGCGGCCCTTCTTCAACTGCTCTAGACCGCAAGGCCCTATGTGCCCTCTCGAATTCTATAGTTGGCGGTGGGGATGGTGGCAGTAGAGAGCAGAATAATTCCGTTAGTAAAGCCTCAGCATTTTCTGGCCCCTCGGATTCTGGTACCCCACGAACCCGGATATTGCGCCTCCTACCTCTATTGTCTACATCTTCCAGGTGTCGACGCATGGAAAGCAGCATCTCGCCCTGGCGTGCTACAGCGGTATCAGTGGCTGCCACTCGGGCTGTGAGGGCCTCAGTTGCTTCCTCCGTCGCGGTAATGCGGCCCGCCTGCGCAGTGAGCTCTGTGTGAATCCCCGCGATCTCTGTCCGCAATGTGTCTTGGATGGTGGTAGTTATCGCCTGAAGGTCGGTTTTTGTCACCATGGTGGCTGCCAGGTCCCTCAGGGAGCCCTCAATCCGGTCTAGGGCCGGCATCCCCTGTCCGGGAGCGGATGTCGCCGCCATCTTGGGGCTGCCAGAGTCTCCGCTCCCCCCTGGCTGCTGCTGCAGATATCCGTCCAGCGGGCCCTGAGAGGCTATCCGTGGGGTCTGGGGCTGCTCTGGGCGTTTAGTGCGCCCCATTAAGCTTAATTTGCTTGCCGTGATCGCTATATTCGGGTCCGGCGAGACGGAGCTTATTCTCTACGCGGCCATCTTAGTCGGAGCCGGAACCACGCCCCCTACAATTCACTGTTAAGTGAATAAATTCCAAAGTATACGAATTGTTCAATGAGAACATAAAAGTTCCAGATTTTTTAAATTTGTATTTATAAATAAATTATTAGATATGACTAGTGACTATATGTCTTTCCTGCAATCTACCACTTACATTTCTCCTTATTATTATCGCCATCCCCCCATCCTTATCAACTAAACTTTGACCCTTTGCAGTCTGGCAGTGAGATCTGTATTTTCTCAAGTTAGAGAAGTGTTTGTTTGTTTGTTTGTGTTTACCAACCAATAACCATGAATTTGGACATCTGGTTCAAACAAGGAACTATCAAGAGAAAAAGTATTACTACTTCTAACTGTTCGACAACAGAAACTGAGAAAGAAGATACAAGTAAAAATCTTGAAAACATGTCCGAAATAGTTGTATCTACTCTTCCTCAAACAGCAGAGACAAGTGACAAGTCAAAGACAAAAAGAAAAGCACACAATGCTGGCCAATCTTCTTCTCAAACAAAGAAAATAAAATAAGACGACAGCTACTTAAAATTTGGATTGACAAGTGTCAAAAATAAAAATATACCTCAAGCACAATGCGCACTTTGCAAGAAAATATTGCCAACCAGTTCGTTAGCACCTGCTAAATTACGTCGTCAGTTTGGGCAAAACCACGCAGAGTACAAACATAAAGACATGGACTTTTGTAAGCAAAAGCTTTAGGAGTATCATAAGACTAAACAGTTTATGAGCAAAATATTTGAAAATGATAATAAAAAGCCACTTATTAAAAGGTTTGTGCTACGGCACAAATTTTGTTTCGGGGGTTCCACGATGTTGATATACTGTGTCAAAGGGCTCCACTCGAAAAATGAATTGGGAACCCCTGGCTTAATGTATAACATCACTGAAAGCAATAAATATTGTTTATCATTAAGATAGATTAGAAAAGGCCTGGCGTTAGTGTAGTGTAGGACTTGACATTTTAAGTCCGGGTATATTCATTTCCTTTATGAGCTGTTAAGTTTATTCTCATTTCTATTTCGTTGCTGCTACCACCTTGATAGAAGCATCACGACTTCCTTCCACACTCCCCTCCCATATCCCCCAAGCAGAGCAATAGCCCACATATTGACTTCATCGATAGTGCACTGGGGTTAGAAAGGCAGCAGCTCCGTCTGATGATCCATTGGCTGAAGATAAAACTGAGGGCCTGTATGGTTATTATTTATTTATTTATTATTTATTTATAAAATATTTTACCAGGAAAGATACATTGAGATTTCTCTCGTTTTCAAGTATGTCCTGGGTCCACAAATCATTGCATTGTTACATTAGGGTACAATAAAATACAAAAACAATATTAATACACAATAAATACAAAATTTAACATAGAACAGGTAGGAAATATATAATCAGCCATGACAGGTGCATTCTGTTTTGAGTTATGTAGAGAGGGATCTCTTAAAGGACTTTAGGCTTATTATTATTATGATATTTATATAGCGCCATCAAATTCCGCAGCGCTTTACAATGGGTGGACGAACAGACATGCAGTTGTAACCAGACAAGTTGGACACACAGGCACAGAGGGGTTGAGGGCCCTGCTCAATGAGCTTACATGCTAGAGGGAGTGGGGTAAAATGACACAAAAAGGTAAGGATAGTATTAGACTAGTGACAGTTGCAGAAGAGGAATCAGTCAGGAGCTATTAACAGTTTAATTGATACGCTTTTATGAAAAAAAAAAAATTGCCCCTAGTAAACACCAAAATCATTTTGATTTTTATGTTGATCTGAATAAGTTTAAAAGAAATTTATGTTTAAAAAAATTCTTTCTTAAGAATCCTATAGAAAGACAACTACACGTGGAAAGTGAATTTAAACATCCGGATCTTAGGAAGGAATCTAGTTTCTTCCCCAAACAAATGATTTTGGATAGCATGATTACATTTTAAACTATGGTCTTGAATGAATATAAGAAAATAAAGGTAAAGGACAAATATAATGATAATTTAACGATAAAGGAAAGGAATGCGTTAAGGGAATTGAAAAATAATGAAAATTTAGTTATAAAACCAGCCGATAAAGGGGGAGGAGTAGTGGTGATGTCTAAAGAATTTTATAATAAGGAAGCTTTTCGTATTTTAATGGATGTAACTACTTATAAGAAATTAACGGTTAATCCTAGTACCATCATAAAGGAAAAGTTTAGAGTTTTCTTAAAAAAAGGTTTTGAGCTAGAGATTTTAAATAAGAAGGAATTTAACTATATTAATATTCCACATCCCAAAACACCAGTTTTTTACTTCCTACCTAAGATTCACAAGAATGTTGAAAATCCCCCAGGGAGACCTATAGTCGCAGGGATTGACTCTATCTCTAGTAGGTTGTCCCATTATATTGATTTACAGCTGCAACCTGTAGTTCTAAAAACAAGATCATATATAAAAGATACAACAGCAGTTTTAAATTTATTAGAACATAGTGTGTGGGAGGAAGGCTGGTTGTTGGTGACAAGTGACGTCACAGCCCTGTATAGCAATATACCCCATACTTATGAATGTGAAGCAGTAGATTGTTTTTTAAGGAATTCCACAGATATGAAGGACACCCAGATAGAGTATATTTTGGAAGGAATTAGATTAATTTTAGAAAACAATTTCTTCTGGTTTGGGGAAGAATTTTATTTGCAGATCAATGGGACAGCCATGGGGACCAAGTTTGCCCCTAGCTATGCCAATATATTTATGTCATATTGGGAGCTTTTATTTGTATATGACGGGCATGGCTGGGGTGAGAGCTTGGTCTCCTATGGCCGTTACATTGATGATATCTTCTTCATTTGGAAAGGAGGAGTGGAGTCCTTGAAAGAATTTTTAACTTTTTTAAATTCTAATGCCTGGGGCATACAATTAACTAGCACATGGAGCAATCAAGAAATAGCTTTTTTAGATTTAACTATTTTTATACAAGATGGGGAGATAAAGCCCCCAAAAAATTTTACAACCGTGGATGCGAAAAAGGTTATGAAGAAAAGAAAATAGAAGAAGCAAGATTAAGAGTTAAAGAAACAGAACGAAAGGATCTCCTTATATATAAAGAGAGAGAAAAACAGAATATAGAAGATGTACCTTTTATCTGTAACTATAGCTCGGAAAATTTTAAAATCAGAAATATTATTAATAAGTTTTGGCCCATTTTACGTCATGATCCAGCTTTGGAAACGATTCTATCTGAACAACCACGTTTTATTCATAGAGGAGTGGGAAATTTACATAATTTTTTGACTTCTAGTTACATCAATGATCGAAAAAGGATCGACACTTTTTTGAATAAAGAGAAAGGGTTTTATGGATGCGGTTATTGCTTAGCATGTAAGAGAACAGGAAATAAGAAAAGAAGAATAACACATTTTAAAAGTAAGGAAGAGTATAAAATAAGAGAAATGGTAACATGCCATCCGAATAATGTGATGTATGTTCTACAGTGTCCTTGTGGCCTTAGTTATGTAGGGAAAACTGCTCGGTCCCTACATATTAGGATCGAGGAACACAGTAGGAACATTATGAAGGGAGCTGAAAATCACACTATACCTGTACATTATAAACAGTATCATAACCAGTCGCCTGTAGGCACTATATTTTTAGGTGTCAAAAAGGTTGTAAAAGATTGGAGAGGAGGTAATTTTAATCAAAGACACTTAAATACCCTTATCCCCCACGGTCTTAACACAGATTTTGAAAGGTGTCATTTTTTAGAATAATTTTATATAATATTTATTGTGTATTATTATGTATTCTGGAATCTTTAATAATTTTTTTATAATATATTTTAATTTTAGTAGGTTTTTTTTTTTTTTTTCTTTATTTTTGCAGTGCTTAGGTTTTACACACACGCTTGTCAAGCCACAATAGCTAGTCCAAGCCAATGAAATAGTACATGTGTTACATTTCACAATATCATGGCATTCGTATATAGCACTTTTTTGTTTTGTTAGTTACAGAACCTGGTTACACGGGAAATCTGCTATTCTCATCGTTTGGCCATTTAGTGAACTGGTTAATCTTGTAACCTATGGGTTAACATGCTAGGTGAACTTCGCTAAATCTTTCTTATAACAAGTTAACATCGCTGTACTAGTTAGACATAAGGTTTGTATGCTGTGTCAATACAGGTACAGCTTAAAATGTGATTATACAGGGTAAAGGTACTAGGTGATACTTGCACCCGTTTTTAAGTGACTGATTACTCGTAGGTTAACTTTGCTAGGGCATTCTATCCTGCTTTTGCGGTTGCGATTGTTTGAAGCATAGTTTAGCATATACTTAGAGTCCTGAAAGTAGTCGCTTGTATGAACACCCCACAGCCTCGCCGTCGCGCAGCTAGGCATTCCTGCTCCCCGGAGGGATGTTGGGCAGGCTTTGAGACTCATGCTGGTTCCTCAAGTCCTGTCTGCCCGAGTTCTGCTTTGTGGCTGCTGAAGGTTGGTAAGTCCCCCTGATTTTGTCGCAGCTGTTTTCCTCCAGCCGTTTGGTGTCTCCTCCTTGCGGTTTGGCAGTTAGGTGTCGCTGTGCCGTTGTGGAGGTGATGTGCCTTCTGTGCCGGCCGGCCGAGCATGCCCGGGGGGTTGTCTATTAGATCAGATTCACAGGGCTTGTGTAGATGGCATCCCCCCGGGAGCCGCAGGTATCTGTGCGAGCCAGCAGGGTCACTGCGCCGCCATTTTAGATATGGCTCGTGGCCTGGTCTACGTGTTTGCAGTCCTTCAGGGCCCCGGGTGCTTCGAGGTAGCAGAGGCTGCAGAGCATATAGGGTGTGGGCCGGGATCACCCCCGCCGGCCCAGGGGGGGGGAACAGGGCCCGGTCTGCTCAGCTAAGGGAGTCTGGCCAGACAGCATCGGGCAGGATAGCGGGCGGCGGCCGTCCGTCTCGCTCACCGCCTGAGTAGGCCTCATCCAAAAGGAGCGGTGCGTATCTCTCCGGGGGACTAAAACGTTAGTCGCAAGCCTCTCCCCGGTTCCAGAGTCTCCCATGTGCCGGCCCACCTCTGTAGGTCGTCGGGTAGGGCAAAAAAGTTTTGTGTTATAGATTAATGCTTTGAAAGTTGCTGGAGCTGCTGTGCCATGCGACCGGCCAGCATGGCGGTCAGGCCCCGCCCCCCCGGTTTTTATTTTTTAAGAACCATCTTATATTTTATAAATCCCCATAGAAGACTCTAAGAATCATTTTATAATCATTTTATATTTTAAAAGTCCCCATAGGAGATCAGTTGTAGTCTTAATTTGGATTGTGTTTCACACCATATATAAAGATTGACATAAAAATATTTATCGAACTAAACTTTATACATAGTATAAGAATTTCGATACAGATAAACTAAACCACAGTAAATTGGTACAACTATTTAACTGAAAAAAGATACATGCAGGATTAGAAGAAAGCAACAGTTTAATACTTGTAATATTCTAGATGAATGGTACATGTATATAGATTTTAAATATCATGGAGGGAATATAGTTAGAAATGCTTCGTTGAATTGGAATTGTTTCTCTTGTATAATGTTGAGAAAGGGTTGATTTATAACATATTTACAACATGTTAGTATTTTCCACGAGGTGGTATTTAATACATAACATAAATATTGAACGTATTTTTTTATTTTATTGCATAATTGATTTTCTATATTCCTTTGTTCTCTCTTAATTTTTGATATCTTTATATTTTGTTTTTTTGTGTACGTAACATTTGGTATAATATGTATACGAGAACGGCAATTTGGACAATAAGGATACACGTGACCAACATGAGTGACGTCACACGCGGAAATAATAAGAGCATGAAAAAGAGGCTTGGAACACAATTAGTGACTTGTTGCAATCACTGGAGAAGAGGCGCGCAATTTGAGTGAGCATACAGTACGAGGAAGGGATATAAATGCAGGACTCTAGGAAGTTGGAAGAACACATCGGACCCAGCTGAGGAAGCCGTCGAGAGTTACGGTGAAACGCGTTCTGGGAATTATTGTATGATATTTTATGCCCATTACATAATTAAGTATTTCTTAACTTTATATGTACTTTTATTTTGTTATCCCAATAAGGGACATTATGCTATTTTATATTACTATTATATAATTAATAAAGTCTTCACTACCAGTTCTATGGGCTGTCGGTTCCTGCATAGAGGAGTATAGTCCTTGTCTATACAACGTGCTGAGACATAGCAGAAAAGAGTGGCTTCATCCTTGTGAGTATATTACTTACCAGACTATATAGGATTTTTGGCGTAAATACTGCACCATATATCTGTTTCATTTACTATACAAGACCACCCAGCAAGAAGAAGGGGAAGGTCGCCTCTACGGACCTACATGCGCTTATCCCTGAGCTTGGCGTTAAGCTCAGGAGGATGTGAGTGTATTGTTTGACCTATATATAATAAGTTATAATTATATACAGTGTTACACTATTGGAGGTTTTTTACTTTATAGGTGTATTTCGAATTTTATATTGACTATACAATCATCATTGGGACGAATATTCTCTGGTCCGGCTCAGCAGAACTGAGTATATGTATGTAGCGCTACACCTTTTTTTGTATTTTGTGTTATGGAGGGAGGAAATATCTTCTTACAAATTTGAGCTGTTCAATGACACATCAAGTTTCGAGGGTCTAGGTGTTTATTGCTGGAGGTAATGGTGCATTGCAGAATGGTATTTTTTAGGGAATTAGAATGAGCTCATTCCTAATCTGATGTATCTTGAATTGTGGTTGTAATTGTCCTGATATGGTTTGACCAAACGTCTACGACCCCCAAAAAAATTATATTGAGTCTTGCGGTTACTTCTCAGTCCTTGTTTATACATAATTTACGCAGACAAGTCACTGTCATAAAAACATTGATACTGCCTGGTCATTATCTATAACATTCAAAAGAACATTGGGATTTACGTACAGGACATGTTATTATAACTAGCCGATAAATGGGTTATGTTCGAAGAAAGCGTTTTCTGCAGGATAGAGATCGGAAATAGAACTGACATTATAAATATGATCATTTGTATACATTATTGTGTGAACATAAATTGTAGTGAGAAAGTAATCAGAGATGGTCATGTGTTTAATAAGCATGAGTGGCTGGGTGTCACCATCCCCGGCTATTGTGTTAGATTATTTTATAATTAGAATTTATATTAATTTACTTCAGCTTGATGAGCAGGTCTAAGCGTGAACAGTGCAAGACGACATAAATGTGGATAGAGACTGACTATCCTTATTCTAGGAGAATGTTACAAAGTGCCAAACATTAATACTGTGTGGTCATGAGCCTTAATTCCGATTCTTTAATCCAACACCCCCAACCACCAATGAAGCGGGCTGTTCTACAACGCTGCGGAATATCTTGGTGCCATATATATAATTGTAATAATTGTTGGAGTTATTATTGTTAGCATATTATGCAGTGTTTTAGAGTTAAAGAAAAGGGATACAAAGAAGGTCCTAGTGAAACAAGCTTACAATCTTTGAATATTTGAGGTTGGCAGATATATATATCATTAGCTGTGTTGCCCTAAGACAGCTACTGGTGTCCGACCAGGATATGAACCTGGGTTTCCCAGTTACCAGCCAATATAGCTTGAATTGAGCATATCTGGCTAATCAAAAACGTTAGGGTTAGGATCTCTTTTGTGACCGTAGTAATCTGTTCTGATGGATAGCTTTACTTATTTACAATTTTGGGCACCTGTTCTAAAGAAGGATATTATGGCACTAGAAAAAGTGCAGAGGCGGGCTACAAAATTAATAAAAGGAATGGAACATATCGGCTATGAAGAAAGGTTAACAAATTTAAACCTATTTAGTTTAGAAAAACGTCGCCTGAGAGGGGATATGATAACATTATACAAATATATTCGCGGCCAATACAAACCATTGTGTGGAAATCTATTCACAAACCGGACTTTACATAGGACACGAGGACATGAGTTTAGACTGGAAGAAAGAAGATTTCGTCTAAGGCAAAGGAGAGGTTTTTTTACTGTAAGAACAATCAGGATGTGGTATTCTCTGCCTGAAAAGTGGTTTTATCAGAGTCCATACAGATGTTCAAACGGCTACTAGATGCATACTTGCAAGAACAGAATATTCAAGGATATAATCTTTCAATGTAGGGTAATAACTGCTTGATCCAAGGATAAATCTGACTGCCATTCTGGGGTCAAGAAGGAATTTTTTTCCTAGTTTGTTGCAAAATTGTGCTTCAAACTGGGTTTTTTTGCCTTCTTTTGGATCAACAGCAAAAAACAAATGTGAGGAAGGCTGAACTTGATGGACGCAAGTCTCTTTTCAGCGATGTAACTATGTAACTATGTAACTTATATACAGGGCTTATATATTCCCCTTTCTTCATTCCTCAACAAACAACTTTTTCCTCCTCTCTTTCATTGTGTCTGTTCTATTCCTATATCTTTATTCATTTGCCAATTACGTTTTCCCTCCGTCTCATTCTTGATATCCACAGATCTGTTTCAGAAGATGCCAACACAACCCATCTGATAAAAGAGCCATTTCCAATGTAGGAAAGGAGCCAGTGATCTTTCTGATGCAGCGGTGCCATCTAGAGAACGTTTAGTAAATTGCAACCATTTATTCAGAAAATTGATCAATACTAATTTTACTTCATTATTTTACTGTATTAGCGGCAAAACCAAGTGTATGCCATAACAAATGAAACAAGTACAGCACTCCAGACTGCTGGGGAGAGATTATTGCAGATACAGGTTTATCTCAAAAGGTCCAGTGGAGAAATCAAAGTTCATCTATCCATTTACAGTCAATCAAGGTTTGCACAGTTACCCCATAACAGCAGGATTGCTGGTTTTATCAGATAAATAGTGCGATGGTGGTCACCATCACTGGGAACATAAGATGGACACTTCAATTAGATCCCTGGGTGACTCCTATGTTTAAGTCACTCTGTGCCCATTGTAGGTGCAGGGTGTGTGTAATGGTTGTGTATTATGTATTTATTGTTAATTGTTTGTGTGCTCTCCTGTCCTGCTGATGCTTGCTACCAACTAGGAGGATTTGGCTATGGAGCCTGTATAGCGCCCCCTGTTGGTTGCCGCAACAGCAACTTCCTGAATAGCAAGGCCTGCAAATTTGCATATTTGGGTAGATTTGCATATTGCTAATTCTGCAGTCAGGAGACATATTCTGTGTTAATTATTATCTTCCCCACCTCCTTATAAATATGTAATTGTGTGTGTTGTCTGCTCTGATTTGGTTATTTGTATTTTATTTAAGTTGTCACAGCAATCTACATGTAATGAGTCTATGGTCTAGTCCCGAGAAAAATAAAGTTTTTGTTGTCATTTCCTTTTGGAGTTTGTGTTCCATGTGGATTATTAGGGATCCTAGTGACAGAGTCCTCTGATCTGTTTGCTGGTTGCAGGATCACTCTAGCTCTGGGATAAATCAAGAGCTAGGCCTTTGTAAAGGTGATAACTATAATCACTGTGTGCAGAGCTGCAGGGGAAAATGAAGAGGGGACGATATCTACCTGGAAGAAGGGCTGCAGCAGAATAGGCAGAGGGGACCATATCTGCCTGGAAGAAGTACTGCTGTAGAATAGGCAGAGGGGACGATACCTGCCTGGAAGGAGAGCTGCAGCGGAATAGGCAGAGGGGACGATACCTGCCTGGAAGAAGGGCTGCAGCGGAATTGGCAGAGGGGACAATACCTGCCTGGAAGAAGGGCTGCAGCGGAATAGACAGAGGGGACTGTAACGGATCGCCTGGCACCCCGACTGGGTACCTCCGTTGAAGGATGCTCCTAGCGCTTCCTGAGGACTCCAAGCACTCTGGCAGACACCACAATCACCGAACCGGAGAAACAAATAAATTCTCCCAAGCATATGAATGCTGTAGACAGTTGAATAGGAACCATACGAATAGGTTTACTCTCCTAGCAGTCAAACTGGAACAGCATACAATAAATCCTTCCCCAATAATGAGACGACACTTCACTTTGAGGGTTAAAACAGGAACTCCCTGTACTGTCACATACAGTCTCTTTTATTCCCAATCCACAAACATAGTACAGCCCACAGGGCGTTACAAAACAACCAATCAATCCGTACAATACACCCAGACACTCCCACATAAAATCCTCCCCTCTGCATGTGATATGATTACTGAACACAATGGGTAATCTCATTATCACCGGCAGAGGAATACAGTTTTACACAATATTTATAACTTCTAAAATATACATATCACAAACATAAAACATACATTTTTATAATCAATCCATTCAGGGGAACAACATATTAAAAAAATGGCACGAATCAGACCAGGGGTTCAAAAGTTAAAGGAAAGTCCTTTGTGACTAAATGAAGCATGGCTTTCTGGCCCAAACCAGTTTCAGAGTCTTCTATCCTGGAGAGTAATTCAATAATCTCCCAGGACAGACACAAGACTCCATTAAGCACATGGTTGCAAAAAGACACAAAACACTTTAAAATACATAAAGTCACCTTTTACACATAAGACACAGACATTTCACATATCCCCAGATAGCTGGGATCTGAGCGCACAAAACTACCGAATAGCGCTCAGATACTATTCACACAGTTCAACTGCCATGGAGCCAAAGTCTTTAACTACACGAATGGGCTCCATGGCATAGCTATCTGGGTTAACACATTCACATAAAGTCTGGTCCATAGTCCAAAGGCAAGAGGCGGGCAAGCAGCCCCCTCCAAGGACACGTGGCGAGGCCGGTTTCGCCACATTTCTCCCCTTTACCATCCAGACTAACAGGGCATCTGACCTCCTGCCGGTCAGTGCCCTGGTTAGTCCAGCAACCCACCCACGAAGCACAAACAGCAATACAGCCCACACACAATAACTGGTTACTACACCTGGATAAAATAGCAACTTGTCCATGTCCAGGTGCCTCACCACAGCTGTGCGGGGGGCTGGTAGACTGCCTTGGTGGGCTGCTGAGTGGGCAGAGACCAGCGGTACTCTGCCCGGGTGCCAGCGCTACCACTGAAGTAGCCTGGTTGGAGCCTGGTTGTGGGAGGGGGAGACCGACTGTCTCCCCTCTGGATACACGGCTCTGTGGCTGGGGGACAGGACCGACCATCCCTACCCCTGGTGCTGCAAGTGCAGAGACTACGGTCCCATCTGCATAGTTGTGGGGCTTATCATCTCCCCTTGGTGGGTTAGGCTGCCGCTGGAGAGAGGGTGTAACAAGCTCCTCTCTCTGAACTGTAGACTGCCGCTGGGGAGAGGGGGTAACCTGCTCCTCTCCCTGACACTCTCTTTGCTGGTGGAGAGGGGGACCAACTGTCTCCCCTTTCAATATTTTGTCCTGCGGCTGGGGTGCGAGACAGACGGTCTCTGCTTCCTGGGGTACACACTGCTGCTGGGGAGGAAGGACACCTTCAGCTCCCTGGGGTACACACTGCCGCTGGGGAGGAAGGACGACACCTTTGGCTCCCTGGGATACACACTGCCGCTGGGGAGGAAGGACGGCACCTTCTGCTCCCTGGGGTACACACTGCCGCTGGGGAGGGGGGGTAACAAGCTCCTCTCCCATACATACTTTCAGCCGCTGGGGAGAGGGGATAACAAGCTCCTCTCCCTGACACTCTCTCTGCTGTTGGAGAGGGAGAGCAACTGTCTCCCCTTTCAATATTTTATCCTGCAGCTGGGGTGCAAGACAACTGGTCTCTGCTTCCTGGGGTACACACTGCCGCTGGGGAGGAAGGACGGCACCTTCTGCTCCCTGGGACACACACTGCCGCTGGGGAGTAAGGACGACACCTTTGGCTCCCTGGGACTTACACTGCGGCTGGGGAGGAAGGACAACACCTTCTGCTCCCTGGGGTACACACTGCTGCTGGGGAGGAAGGACGACATCTTCAGCTCCCTGGGGTACACCTTTGAGTCCCCGTAATGCACTCTGCCCCCGGATAGGGCGGCCGATACATTTGGATGGATCTGCCATGAACTGCAGGTACTCTGCTGTTAATTTCCTCACGAACTGTACGTATTGCTCAGCGGGGTTGGGTCCAAAGAAAGCCAACCGCATGGCAACCTCTCTGTCAAACCGCTCCTGAGTGTAGCCAGGCGCCATGCTTGCTCTGCCGCCGTTGGTTTCTTTGTAGATAGGGGCGCTGTACGGATACTAGCGTTGCCCTCACTTTGTAACTCCAAACGAACTGTGTCTCTGAGCTGCTTTACCTCGCACTAGGACGCCATCCCACCGCTGCCACCAATGTAACGGATCGCCTGGCACCCCGACTGGATACCTCCGTTGAAGGATGCTCCTAGTGCTTCCTGAGGATTCCAAGCACTCTGGCAGACACCACAATCACCGAACCGGAGAAACAAATAAATTCTCCCAAGCATATGAATGCTGTAGACAGTTGAATAGGAACCATACGAATAGGTTTACTCTCCTAGCAGTCAAACTGGAACAGCATACAATAAATCCTTCCCCCAATAACGAGACGACACTTCACTTTGAGGGTTAAAACAGGAACTCCCTGTACTGTCACATACAGTCTCTGTTATTCCCATCCACAAACATAGTACAGCCCACAGGGCGTTACAAAACAACCAATCAATCCGTACAATACACCCAGACACTCCCACACAAAATCCTCCCCTCTGCATGTGATATGATTACTGAACACAATGGGTAATCTCATTATCACCGGCAGAGGAATACAGTTTTACACAATATTTATAACTTCTAAAATATACATGTCACAAACATAAAACATACATTTTCATAATCAATCCATTCAGGGGAACAACATATTACAAAATGGCACGAATCAGACCATGGGTTCAAAAGTTAAAGGAAAGTCCTTTGTGACTAAAGGAAGCATGGCTTTCTGGCCCAAACTAGTTTCAGAGTCTTCTATCCTGGAGAGTAATTCAATTATCTCCCAGGACAGACACAAGACTCCATTAAGCACATGGTTGCAAAAAGACACAAAACACTTTAAAATACATAAAGTCACCTTTACACATAAGACACAGACATTTCACATATCCCCAGATAGCTGGGATCTGAGCGCACAAAACTACCGAATAGCGCTCAGATCCTATTCACACAGTTCAACTGCCATGGAGCCGAAGTCTTTAACTACACGAATGGGCTCCATGGCATAGCTATCTGGGTTAACACATTCACATAAAGTCTGGTCCATAGTCCAAAGGCAAGAGGCGGGCAAGCAGCCCCCTCCAAGGACACGTGGCGAGGCCGGTTTCGCCACAGGGACAATACCTGCCTGGAAGGAGAGTTGCAGTGGAATAGGCAGAGAGAATGATACCTGCCTGGAAGAAGGGCTGCAGCGGGATAGGCAGAGGGGACGATACCTGCCTGGAAGGAGAGCTACTGCCTGGTTGGGTGCAAAAGCTCCAGAAGGACCCCAGCCAGACGACTGGGACAGAAATATTTTAGGGTTCCTGCAGGCTAGGACTTAGCGGAGGTACCCAGCTGGCGTACAGGGATCTCCGTCACAAATAGGAATTGTCAAATGTTTTCCTCCATCTGTTTCACAAAAACATATAATTGCAAAAATATTAATTTAACGGGCTATAGAACCAAAAACAGTATTTTCATGAATCACTGGTTTTATTTAGATTAATCCGTCCTCTGGTGGTCTGTTTCTCTCCCCCCCCCCCCAAAAAAAATATTAAAAAAAATAAAACTGCTTTAACTGACCTCTTTTCTATCGCCAAGGCCAAGTTCTCCACATGATCCTCCTTGGCTGATATCACTCCACCTCACCAGAGAGGATGGGTGGACAGGGAGGTTTAAAGAGAGGATATGAGCTGCACAGAGGTGGGCGTGTTGCCATTGGCTGTCTTGTGCCAGTGCGTTGTGCGTGCTGGCATCATACGCCAGTTTTGCACAGAACTGATATTAGCCAGTTGGGAATGGCTACTGATGCCCCCATGTTGCTGCCGGAGGTTGAGTTAGTTACATCTCCAGCACCAGAGGGTATGCGCAGTGCGTCATAGGGGAACACTGCAAGTACAGACTCCAGGCACCATAAACACTTTAATTCAGAAGGAATGTAACCCTTATGTTACAACGTATACATTTCACTTGAACTTGGAACATGAGCTTTAAAAGCGAGAGCCAGAAAAAAACTAGCTGGTATAACAAGAATATGAAACAAATGAGGTTCCAAGTATAAATGGGGGAGGTGTTATCCCTTAAAGGAGCACTATAGAGCCAGGAATTACAAACTCGTTTTCCTTGCACTATTGGGTCATTAGGTCCCCCCCACCCTCAGGGCCCTCCCCCCACTGGGCTGAATGGGTTAAAACCTCTTCCGCCACTTACCTTTCTCCAGCGCCGGGCTCCCTCGGTGCTGGTGACCTCTTCTACCCATCCAACGTCAACTCCGAATACGCATTCAAACCGCCCATAGGAAAGTATTACTCAATGCTTTCCTATGGACGTCAGCATCTTCTCACTGGGATTATCACAGTGAGAAGCGCCTCTAGCGGCTGTCAATGAGAAAGCCACTAGAGGCTGGATTAACCCTCAGTGTAACATAGCAATTTATCTGAAACTGCTATGTTTTCAGCTGCAGGGTTAACAGGGTCATTGAGCTGAAGTGGTCTGGGTGCCTATAGTGGTCCTTTATCTGAAAGGGCAATAACATCTCTGTGAACTTCTTTAGCCATCCCTTCCAAATTTCCATGGGTTAAATCGTCTCAAATCCCCAAATCCTTCAGATTGTAAACTCACGGGCTATCTAGCTAAGCACTTTGTATAAAAACGCTTCAATGGCTAGGTATCAGCCTACAGACAGGGCCCTCTATACCTTTTGGTATTTGTCTTTATATACTGTTAGTTTGCCCCTAATTGTACAGCGCTGCGGAATATGTTGGCGCTTTATAAATACAAGTAATAAATAAATAAATAATATTCGTGTTCCTCTAGTTAGTCAAGCTCACAAGATAGAATGTTAGAACACATATCGCGTGGTCATTTTAAATCACTATAATCACTATTCAGCACTATTTTATTCGTATTTAATTGAAGGTTAAGTTTACATTTTATGATTACGTTAAGAAGTTATCACAAAATAAAAATTACAAAAAATGAGTGACAATTTGTCTGTGTTGGAAATGAAAAGTCTGATTGTTACATTACGTGCTTTCTATTTGTGTTTTATTTAGAGATCACCCAGAATGCCAATACATTGTCAAAATATTTCACATGTGATAATGCAAATTGTAATATATTAATACATTTATGGTGAAAAAAGGAACCACGTCTGTGAGGGCAGCCAGTATCATAATAGATCTTCTCTTAATAATTAACTGATTAAATATAGTGTCGACATATAATGGTCATGCATTGCTGTTTCCTCATTTTACATAATGTTTAAATATTGTCTAAATTAGCACAATTCATTTTAATGATACCACAATGCAGTTAGGAACAATGCAATAAGTGCACTTTACCCTAGGGATGTGCATGGGAAAAATATTCGGTTTGGTTCGGCATACTGAAATTCAGGACTTCAGTTCGGCACTTGGGGTAAATGTAGAGTTAGGGTTGGTTTAGGAGTAGGGTTGGGTTAGGAGTAGAGTTATGGGTAAGTTTAGGGTTAGACAAAATATACAAAAAGTATATAGTTGTGTAGGCGCTTCCAACCTTAAATGCAATATAAGTGAGTGTGAAAAAAGGTGTAATCCCTTAACACCCAAAGACAAAGTAGAAAGATAAATAGATAGGTTCACACACACTCAAAAAAAGTATATACAAAATATATACATAAATAGGTATACCACCTAATGTAGACGTAAATATGTTGGTTACATCTGAAAAACAAATGGAACATACATAGTGCTTTCCATATAAATTAAAATAAACAAATTATAATATATGTGGATTGAACTCACAAAGGTGGAGCCTCATAGGCTCTATGCACATCACTCTTGGGTGCCTATTCAGGCTCTCGATAGATTCCTGTTGGAAGAACTCGAGGTCCACAGTAGTAGATGTAGATACAAATTTATTGAAATAAAATATTAAAATAAAATATATAAATAACTAGGGACAAGGCAGGTATAATCATGAAATATAATACAGTATTGCACTGCAAATATGGCCAAAACTTTAAAGCAGTGGAACACTACAATACATAAACAATAAGAAAATACCGCCAGAAAAAAGTCCCAATAGAGAAGTCCAGTAAAGTGCAACGTTCTAGGGTGAAAATATCCCATTTAGTTTTAGTCTCTTTAATTAACAATTTTTCAAGCTTTTTGCAGGCAAAATCTAAATTTTCTTCAAATACCTTATATTATAGTATCCCATAAAGTTGTGGGCTGCTCATATTTAAATTAATTCTTGATCCATCTATTGAGATCTATTTATTTACCTTTAGGTATTTGAAGCCAGGGAAAATTGGCAGGACATGGTTGCCATCAAATTTGACAATACACAAGGTCCCATTATTCAATCTGAAGAAAATTTAGATTTTTTTTCAGAAATTCAAAGCAATTCGACAATTCGGTTTGGCATCCGGCCATTCAATTTCCGAAATTCTTCTGAATTTGCATTTGGAAACACACTGGGCAGGGGCTATACGACCTGATGTGTACAATAGGTTAGCAATGCATAACGGTGGCTCAGGTGTCCCTCAAACTAATTTTCCCTAGCTAGATCTACTGTATAAACACAGTGCTAACTAACCCCCGTCTCTCCCTGGCCACCTGCACCAAAACTGTAAAAATAACAAATATTTATCTGTCACTCTCTGCAATGGTTTCTGATAATTATCAGGAAAAATTACTTTTAACCTTTGAAAACTGACAAAACGTGTTAAAACAAAAAGCTTACAATTTAAATGATTTAGCCACATTAAAATAAATCTGTAATTCCTGTTTTCTACCTATTAATACAGGTTGCGCTGGGATTGTTGTTTTTGGAACAGGTGATTTGGGGATCTCATATTTACCATTCAGTTCACACACCTGCAGATAGTATGAGCGGCTTGCTCACTCCTTGCTAGTTATGATAAACTCTTATTCTCAGCACAAGGTGTGAGACCATTCTAATCGGCATCCCGGAGTATACTTACTGCTCCTGAGAACCCACATTCATTTTTACTTGACCCCATCTGCTATGCGTGTGGTAGGAGCCACGTGTATGTGTCTCATACATAATGTATCATTGATCATAAGCCTAAAACAGTGAGAGTCATTGGTCATAGGCCTAACACAGTCACAAGGTACAAGTTTCAGGTTAAAAAAAAAAATATCTATATTTACCTTTTTTTTTTTTAAATCAAAATGTTCTTTGGGAGGATATTGTTGTTCTCCAGGAAATCAGTTGTCCAAACTCAATCATTTTGTTGGCATTCAGCTGCTTCTACTCCCAAATTACCATTCAGGTAATCACTGTAACCTCGTTCATGATCCAGAACTGCTCGATTCCTATCACAATGTTCATTAGTTTACTGTAATATATTTTTACTCTGATAATTACATTAATTTAAGATGTGTTTCTTCTATTTCCATTTCCCTACTGTAAACAGACACCTACCTTCAATATTTTACTGTATTCGTTTCCTCGTGGCTGCACCGGATTTGCCACCGTAAAAACATTCCCTCCTATACCCTGTATTCATTCTATAAAAGCTATTGCATTTAACACATAATGAATTCAAAAATGGTCCAATCAAGTGCCATGGTCAATACAAACATCCCCAATTCCATGGCAGATCAAAAAGAATGAAAAGATAACCACTTCTGTTTTAAAAAATCATAAAACTATCCCTCTCTACTCCAGAATCAGATTTCTCCTTGTCCAAATTATTTATTATAGCCTTCTATATAAAACTGTGCTAAGCGAGTTCATTATAAAGACAACCATTGACAGCATATCATTTCTGAGTAGCATAGCCACATGTTTGTTGTTCTTACTGTGATAACCCACTTTTTCTGTTCTAGGTGAAATCTCTTTTGCTCAATTTTAAATAGATGACCTTTGTAATATCGCTTCATGAGCAGGACAGAAAAAATGGCAGTGCTGGGATAGTTTTCTTCAGATTTCCGGGAAAGCAAAACATGGGAAACGTAGATCTATAATAGCAGGAGATTTGTCTTTTGGTCAACAACACGGAAGAATAAATCACAGTCAAATGATGACACACGACACCAAGGAAGATAAAGGCCTTTTAATAAATAACACAAACAATAAACGGGAACACATCATATGCCATTGAACAATGAAGCAATAGTCTTATATTACTCTCTAATCAATATATCTCCTATCTTTCATGTAAACAATTCACTTCAAGATTGTACAGTACAGCTAGATGACCATCGCAGATTAACTTTTAACTGAGGTTGTTTTTTAATAAATTAAGACTGAGTGTAGGGTTGTTTTATAGAATATAATAGATCATATGAAAAATAAAATCAGAAAAATCATATACAACTAGTTTATCATCAGCAAAAACATTAAATGATTAGGAAAAAGATTCGCTGAAGGACATCACAAAAAATTGTCTTCATCCTTAGACAGAAACCATTCTGTTTGTGAAAAGTTCATCTCCACCAACTCTGCCAAACATTGTTATTGTTGGTTTATTAATTATATTAATATTCAGAAAGGCTGTGCAATTAGTTTTCAATTAATATTAGGTATCCCAAATTCCTTTCAAATGACCAAAATGATGAACACACTGCGTAAAATTTTAGCCCTTTTGATTTTACTGTGGGCCCATTACTCCTTGGCTGTAGCCATGAGGTGGAGTTGAAAGACTAGGCTAACTTTCTTCACTACCAAGAAGAGTTCATGCGCCTTGATGGCTACCACAGACCTGGCCATTCATTTCTACGTGCATATTCAGGGAAAGAGCAATATTAACAAAAATGAATATTACAGGCACGGGAAATAAACCAAACCTGTGAATGCAGGACAGGAGTTCCAAATCAGGACTGTCCCACCAGATCTGGGTCATTTAGAAGCTATGGATAAATGCGATCTTTTTTAAACTAGCCTTCAAAAGGCCACTAATGGTCCAGTACTAACCAAACAAGGCAATAAATAACATCTGGACTGTTTGCAGCCCTGTGATTGATGTGAGAACCATCATGGAATAACATTATATCACCAGGTATAGGGATAGAAGAAAAACACATTGTTTAAAACTCCCAACACGTTTCAAGACTTGCTACAATAGGCCAGAGGTGTCTCAGGTTTGCTGGTACAAAGTTTACATTATGTTATCTAAACACCAAGATAAAATGCTTAATTAACTGCATTCTACGTCACTTGTAAAAGATAACTCCGTAATACAGGGATTATTCACAGTACATTACACAAAAATATTCTCCCTATTTTGGTCACATGAAGGATCAATCACAAAAGTGTGAACAGGCAGAAAATCCACAGCAGTCAAACTGGATTAATATTATTATTTATATAGCGCCAGCAAAATTCTGTAGCGCTGTACAATGGGATTCCGTAGCGCTGTACAATGGGATTCCATAGCGCTGTACAATGGGATTCCGTAGCGCTGTACAATGGGATTCCGTAGCGCTGTACAAATGTATTCCGAGCCAGTTATGTTTCCACTTCTGCTATTTATACCTAGAGGTGAAATTCCCTTTGAATTCACTATGATTCACACTTCAGTTGCTATCCCAAGGGTAATTCACTAAACATGGACCTGTAGTGAATATAAATCCTAATGGCATAATTTAGGCAAATCTACCTGCTGTTCAATATAATATCTCACTCAGATATAGTCACACAGTATAGCTGTGCCTTGGGGTTAATTGAACAGAAAATCACATTACAAAATCCAACTAACAGTGACTCTAAGTGCATTTATTTAAAGGGACACTATAGTCACCAGAACAACTACAGCTTAATGTAGTTGTTCTGGTGAGTATAATCATTGCCTTCAGGCATTTTCATGTAAACACTGCCTTTTCAGAGAAAAGTCAATGTTTACATTGCCCCTAGGGACACCTCTAAGCGGCCACTCCTCAGATAGCCACTTCCTGGGGCAGTGCAGCATTGTAAGCAGCACTGCCATACAGCATCTCCACACTCTGCATGGGGACGCTGAATTTTCCTCATAGAGATTCATTGATTCAATTCATCTCTATGAGGATGTGCTGATTGGCCAAAACTGTGTTGGCTCTGCCCTCTTGTCAATTTTAGCCAAATCCAATGCTTCCCCCATGGGAAAGCATTGGATTGGCTAAAAATCAGCAATTCTGATGATGTCACCAAGGGGGCGGGGCCAGTGCCGGCAGACCCGTGTGGCGCTGGAAATAAGGTGAGTTTTTATTGCTTTTAAAAGTGGGTGAGTGGGGGGCAAGCCATCTAAATGGCGGGTTTAACACTATAGGGTCAAGAATACATGGTTGTGTTCCGGACCCTATAGTGTTCCTTTAAAACCAAATCAAACAAACATCTTGTCTTAAACCTTTGCCATTCTGTTGTGAAGTCACAACAAATAACATTTAGTGAACAGCACTTTTCTTTTAACTTTCATTTTTGGAAGGTGTGTGTTTTCTTAGAATTAGGAAAAATGTTCTTGTGGATATTTATTAAACGTCCTCAGCCCTATTGAAAATTTGTATCAATTCACAGCTGCTTCTAACTCTGCAAAGCGGTTTGTCTTCAAAGAAATCCGGAATTAGGAAAGTTTTGCATGACAATGTCAATGGGACACTGAAACACACATTTATTCTGTACCCCAGGGTTACTGACTTAATAGGACACTCCTAAAGCACTTAAGATTGCTGAAATGGTTATGTGTGAAGAGTGCGTCCTCTTTTCTGCATTTTACAAAAAGTACAGGTTTCAGTAGAAACTGGCATTTTATAAATGAACCTGGTTACACCCACCTGGCTGTCAGTCCAACACCCAGTTCTGTTACTTCCTGGTTTGGTTAGCTCAGTGGAACTAAACTCAAGAGGCAGCAATTACCCAGAGTTTAGTTCCAATTTCCATTTAAATTTTCACTTTTTGTAAAATAAGAAAAAGAGGACATTCTCTTCACACATAAAGCACTGTGGCAAGATAAAATATTTTAGTTGTCTGGTGAGACCCTTTAAGAAAAGGGTCACTTGAATGGAATGTACTAGTGCACTTGTTTTATAATCATGTTTTGCAAGCAGGAGTTCAATGGCCATGGTTATTAATTAATGATTTCCAGAATTCTTGATGCTTTATACACCTAAGCTCACCGGTCACCAGCAAATCATTTAATTCACAAATCTTTAACGACGGTTTAGCATGTGACAAGAGATGTAACACCCCACAATCATGTCGTCGGATGCTTTGGTGGGCTTGCATTTGGTTCCCAACACTTGTGACGCTAGGGATATTGTAAAAGCTGAAAACTGCCGTTAATAACATCTGTTGGAAAATTTGGGATACAATAACATATTAAGCTTTTTTAAAGGTGCAATAGTATTTTTTTTTGTTTTATCAGTAAAGTTGCCCGGACAAGCCTAGGGCGATGATTTTACCTTGAACAAAGAAGTGTTGCAGAGGGAAGCATGTGTTTTATACTAACCTTTGAAGCACTACTTGTCCCGGTAAACATTTACAGCTCCAGTATAACACGTGTAATAATTACACTCAGTGCCTTCCACACACATTCACAAACATCCTAAATCCCAGATATTGCATTGCTTTGTTGCGTTTATCTATAGGAGTTAGTTGGTTTGCAACGGTGTTACAAAATGGATTGTTTTGAACTAAAAAACATAAAATTAGACTATTTTTCTCACAGTTGTGAAGGGTGAATGGGAATATGGGCAGAAATTAAAGGAACATTAACATTATTAAAATATAATATTTTTATGTTATACTTGTTCCTTTTTTTAATTTAGATTTTGAATCCTCTAAGTGCCAAAGGCAATTAAATTACTTGTAATCTACGGCTGAGATTTTCTTCTCTCTATGGAGTGATGATCAATCCTGATGATCCAATGCTTTCCATAGAGAAGAATTGTGGACCTATGGCGCATGCGCGGCAATTGCCACTATCCACCAATCCAATGCTTTTCATTGAGAAGCATTGAATCCAAACATTAGCCACGTGCAGTGTGTTTTCAAACAAATATAAATATTTCTGCTTCTCAGAAACAGCATATTACATTGTCCAAAAAAAGTGAAGGGGTCTATGCACCAAAAGCACTTCATAGAGATTAACAGGTTTTGGTAATTGGACTGTCATTTTAATGCACGAGTGGCCAAATTGTGCCACTTCTGTGAATGTTGTTCTGTGAATACAATTCATTTCACACATTAAAATTGCCTACATCTTGATTTTTTTTTTTTAAATCTGTTCGGCAATTTTATTTTTTTCTTTCCGAATAAAAAAAATAAATAAAAAGTGTAATTTTATATTATTTATTAAAATATTAAATATATATATATATCTTATAAGTAGCCTGTACTTCATCAGGGCACATTGGGCATACGGTATCATCAAGCAGTTTGAATTCTGCGTTCTCTGTTCCTGTTTAGTGGAATGCTCGGAGTAACTCTCTTTGGTTGGGCATATTCTTTCCAGATCCCTAACTACCATTATATGACAAGGTGTATGATTTCTGAATTGTAAACAAGGCATCTTACAGTGGCTGAAAGATTTTGTTTAATGTGAGAAATGAAAGGTCTATTTCCACATGCCTCCAATGGAAGTATTACTTTAAAGGGTTACTTCAAAAATAAAAAAACACAACAGTTTTTGTTTAAAATAACCCTTCATATCCTAGTCCCCATCGAAACATTAAAAAAAACAAATACAAAAAATTACCTACATTCCAGTTCTGAGGCCCAATCCAGTTCCTCCAAGTTCTTCCCTCAGCCCAATCCTCCTAAGTTCCTCCAAGTTCTTCCCTCAGCCCAACCCTCCTGAGGTCCTCCAAGTTCTTCCCTCAGCCCAATCCTCCTAAGTCGATGTCACTCTCCCTCGCTGGTGGTAGAAGGATATAGGGGAAGGATGGGCTGAGGGGAGGGCATTGTTGGCACTGAGAAGGGTGATGGTGGGGTGTGCCACCATTGGATACCTGTCGTCAGCTTCCTGTATTGCTGACATTAGAGTTCCAATATGCACAGAATTCACATTAGCGAGCTCCAAACTCTAGTTCCAGGCTGGCTAATAATGGCCCTTACACCGCCACTTATGGCTTTGAGTAAGATCCAATTAAGGGGGTTTATCCTGAATATATATAGATACTATGCATTGTTAAAATACAGGAACAGTGCTGTATTTTCTTTGGTCTTAAATGTTGGACAAGTAAAGCAGCAGCGGAATGTGTGCTCCTTTTAAATTCCTTGGCCATCTATCCATCGCTTGTAAATAACATTATATAAGTTAATATATATTAATTCCCTTTAAGAACTGCATTAGCTGCCTCTCTGATGGACAGGGTGCGTCCCAAAAGGACAACTCAGAACGTTAAAATAAAAGATTGTTATAGTGTTGTGCTATATCAGTGCATGTCAAGTATTCATTGTGCACATCCTAAACATGTATTTAAGAAAACACTGCTATGGTATGTTCATTCATATTGTGCCTCTGGTTATAGTAGATGCTTTCCCTAACAAACAAAAAAACAAACAGACGCAATAAACATTCTACCTTTGCCTTTTTAAAGGAATGAAACCGCTTCCTAAGACGTCATCTTATCAGACAGATCTGGAGCAAATAACAAACACATTTAAGCCTGGGTTACAATCCTAAACTAGCTGCATTGTTGTATGCAGGAGCATTGGGTGCAGTATAAGAGAGGTTCGTGAGTACTTTTGGAGTGAGGCTCCGTTACTGATCTTTGGTGTTGGACGCCCCACTCTCTGCTCTCAGCTTTTGACTGCTGGTATCATTATAGTTGATCCAGTGCAGGACTTCTTCAGGAAACTCTGGTGATTCCACCTAGAAACAGAGATATATATATATATTTTATCACATTTGCCTCTACTAATACCTTTCAGAATTCACTTTTGTTTGTTCGATCAAAGTTATCTTTAGAAGATTCTTGGACTGTCTGGAAAACAAACTCATCCTCATCTCAGCTGATCAGCTGCAAAACAAGTTAGGCCAGTTCAGCAAATCAATGAAAACCACCTACTATTCATATTAAAAGGAACACCCCAACATTAATAGATATCTGATATTAACATTTGGAGGATCCCTTTATTGCTATCAATGGCAGGCTTGAACCCCCAATACTAAAATGAAGATTTACTCACTTTTCTCCAGCAGAAAGTCCTCTCTCAACACTGCTATTCTCACTGCTACCCCCCAGGAGACTGTCAGCAACAACAGTCTCACTTCCGGTCTGGACAAAACAAGCGCATGCATGGCTACTGCTGTGAATGCATCAATTACCAATAGACAACTTCTCGTCCCAAGCACTAGACTAATTAATGCTTCCCTTTCTGCTAGAACGAGTGAATCAGGAAGCCCTCCAGGCAGTCAGGTTTATAATGAAATAATCATTAAGAACAAGAGGGACGCCGAATTGCTTTAGGGGACTCTCGTGATCCTTTAACTTTTTTCCCCATCAGCTCCTGTTTTTTTTATACATTAAGAATGTAGCACTTGACCTCTCAATCCAGTTCAGTCCTGGCACACATTGCATTGGAGGAAAAGAAGCAGAAACATTGGGGGTTATATATAAAAATTGTCTGTTCTGAAAACTGGCGAAAAGATGTAGAAGAGACAGAGTAACCAAAGGAATGTGACTCATGTTTAATACTTTAGACTGCTTTTCAGAGCATTAAACGTTTTTATACGTATGTATGTCGACTGAACAAAGGGCACGGTTTATAACAGCGACTGAAAAAGAACCAAGATGTTAGCACTCCAGGACATAGGTGAATAATTTTTAAATAAATTGAAATGACTTTTTTTTTATAGATTCCAATACATACGTATACGCACATTGACCAAAAGAAAATACAAAATAAAAATGGGAACGTGTACGGGAACTCAGGGAGCACTTAGGGTGTTAAAGGGACACTCCACTTCCCAAATACATTAAATAAATAAATCAATATTTACATACGCTTCTGATGAAAACATGCAACACCATTTGAAAACTGTTTGGCACCTTAAGGTAAGACGGTGCCCAGGGACTGATTGAGATGAAGTTGTTTCGAGGGAAGAGTCCCTTTAATAACTACTATATGAAAATGGTGTGAAAGTCTGTTGCTGCCACAACTGGGGTGACAACTTTTCTTGTTTTGAAGTAGATATTACTCATTATTTGCTATAGACTGCTGTTATAAGAACATTAAACACTTGAGTACTAGTATTACTTGGTCATTAAATTCAAACACATTGAGAAACCAATCACTTGATTACTGGATTATAACAGAACTGTAAATCTCACCTTCCTCTTGCACATAGACTGTACCACCTTGTCAGGAGAGTTTCCTATGATGTGTTGTCTGCTTAGCAGAACGGCGCACACAAAGCCATCCTTTGGAGCCACAAATCGCTGTTCCACGTAGAAAGCCTTGTCATCCCAGCAAAGCAGACGCGAGCGTATCTCAAAGGTCTCCAGCAAGCGGAGTGAGCGGCGGTAGCGGGCAGTGCATGCCGCCATGACCATCCCGGCCCCAAGGGAATGTATGGCCCCGAAGAGTCCACTGCGTGTGAAGAAAGATAAACGGGCAAAGTCAGCCTCCCTCAGGTAGCGGGAATTGTTCATATGAAGCAGGAAATCAAGGTCATGGGGCAGGACAAGGCTTGAGAAGGAATGTTCCTTCAGTAGGTCCTTCACCACAGGCTGGAGACGGGCTCTCAGGATGGCAAGGAAGGCGCGGAGGAAGTACCAGACATCCAAGATGGAAAACAAGGCAGCGGTAAGGCCCAGGACTAGCACAAGTATCCACATGACCGTCTCAAGGTTGAATTCTAGACAGAGAACAATGAATACCTGCAAGAGAAGACACAAGACCATCAATTATTGCTTGATTTGTAATATGCTACCATCTATTCGACCACAATTAAATCTGGCAAGAGGAGTGGTTTAAATAGAATTAGTAGTTTTCATTTTGCAGACCAATGTGAAAGCTAAAGGTGTGATCCCACATAAACCGACATAACACAACCTTTATAAGAAGTTAATCAAAGTTATGGGTTCGTTTTAAAGGCTGAATTGGTTAGAACAGCTCTTATACTCCTCAATTTAATATTTTTGGATACAGTTTTTTAATCATTTAATATTATGAAAAAAATAAAAGTAATAATTAATATATATATATATATATATAAATATTATGATATATTCATGATGTTTTAATAGATGTTCATTTGAAAAGCTTATTCTAAAATAGCGTATTGGAACAATGGTTAATCATACCGACTAATTCCTCAATTTAATAAACTTTGTAAATAAATTTTTGAAGATAAGTCATTGGGAAATGTTTCTACCAGCATTGAATCGTTTGGAAAGGTTATTAATCCGTGTTAAAATAATTGACACCAGCTGCTACGATACGATTTACCGGCTGTTACGGCAAGATTTGCCGGCTGTTACGGTATGTCACAGGTTGTTATGGTAATATTTACCAGCTGTAACAGTAAATAACATTGGCTGTTACGGTAAGGTTTACCAACTGTTGCGCTAGATGTCACAGGATGTTATGATAATATTTACCGGCTGTTACAGTAAATAACATCGGCTGTTACGGAAAGATTTAGCGGCCATTACAGTAAATAACACTGGCTGTTACAGTAAATGACAGGTTGTTACGGTAAGATTTTGCGGCTGTTATGGTAAATGACACAGTTTGTTATGATATTAACCAGCTGTTACGGTAAGATTTTGCGGCTTTTATGGTAAATGACACAGTTTGTTATGATATTAACCAGCTGTTACGGTAAGATTTAGCGGCTGTTATGGTAAGATTTTGCGGCTGTTACGGTAAGATTTAGCGGCTGTTACGGTAAGATTTTGCGGCTGTTACGGTAAGATTTTGCGGCTGTTGTAACAGAAAATCACAATAGTTTTTTACCCCGATGTGAATGAATGGAGCATTACGCACAGCTGGATGTTCGGCTGCTCATTTTGTTTCAGCTCAGATTCATGCCAGGGACGAACACAGACAATAAACAGGATTCCCTAGGGAGGGAGCAGTAAAAGGAGACATATTGCTTGGAGTGGGGAAAAATAAAGCTGTTACCGAGACACTAAAAGGATCTGAGAATTCAGCAGTGAGGCCTAAAATAACTCACAAAAGGATCAGATCTAATAATGTAACCTCAGAGAGAGGAGTCAGACAGCAGACAGAAATCCTGGTAATCTTCAAACGCCATCTCGACAAGCACAAAAGGTTATCAGTCTGGCAATTAAAGTGGCATCATTGCTTAGAGGTACCTGGGGTGGCAGTTGGCTACCCAGGGAAAGGTGGGAGGTAGCCTCACCTGTAAAGTAAATCATAACCCTGAATTTATCTTTCATTCTATCACTCCCATCTTTCTGTCTGAACACAAATCAAAGGATAAAAAAAACTGGGCAGGAAAATGCTGAAACATAACACATGATATGCATCCTTAAACTCTTAAATCCACAGTAAACAACGAATAATAAGCCACAGGATACTGGGAGAACTACATACAGCTGAGAAACCTCACAGAAATAGAGCCAAGATTTTTTTACAGTAGCCGTTAATGTTTTTTCTCTTTTGATTTCGGTTTTCCCAAGATTTTCGCTCTGTATTTTTGGTGTAGAGTTTATTACGTAACTTACCGTAGCTCCAAATCTTTTTTCTGCTATTACCTGATCATGAAACAAGAAGCAGGGATAGGCAGGGATAGCCTGCTCACCTCACCGTGGAGCTCACCGTGGAGCCTGCTCACCTCACCGTGGAGCCTACTCACCTCACCGTGGAGCCTGCTCACCTCACCGTGGAGCTCACCGTGGAGCCTGCTCACCTCACCGTGGAGCCTGCTCACCTCACCGTGGAGCCTGCTCACCTCACCGTGGAGCTCACCGTGGAGCCTGCTCACCTCACCGTGGAGCTCACCGTGGAGCCTGCTCACCTCACCGTGGAGCCTGCTCACCTCACCGTGGAGCCTGCTCACCTCACCGTGGAGCCTGCTCACCTCACCGTGGAGCCACCGTGGAGCCTCACCTCACCGTGGAGCCTGCTCACCTCACCGTGGAGCCTGCTCACCTCACCGTGGAGCCTGCTCACCTCACCGTGGAGCCACCGTGGAGCCTCACCTCACCGTGGAGCCTGGAGCTACCTCACCGTGGAGCCTGCTCACCTCACCGTGGAGCCTACTTGGAGCGTGGAGCGAGGTCGTCTACAGATTTCTAGTTTACAGAGGCTGGAGGTTGCCTACTGCTAACTGTGAGTCACTGGATATATGTGATTACTGGACATATATTCCCTCTGCGGTTACTTTAGTAAAAGTCATGAATCAAATCAAAATGTATACAGGTACTGGTTTAATTGAAATAATGTTATTATAGCATTCTGGGCAAACAGCCAGGATACAGCCGCATTGTAATAATAGGAACGGTATGATTCTCCAATCTATACTTAGACATTATTATCATTATTATTATCGCCATATATATAGCGCCAACAGATTCCGTAGCGCTTTACAATATTATGAGTGGGGTATTTAACTATAAATAGGACAATCACAAGAAAACTTACAGAAACAATAGGTTGAAGAGGACCCTGCTCAAACAAGCTTACAGTCTATAGGATGTGGGGTATAAAACACACTAGGACAGGAAATATCAATCAAATAAGGTGGGAGTGAGGCAGAGCTGGAGGAGAGAGTAGAGTGCTGCCCTTTAGGAGAGAGCAAGAGACAGGTATGTAAGGTATAGGTAATTCTGAGCGGTAGAGGAAATATTATATATACATCTTATATATATGTAACGTCTTACGTAGTGTATTTTAATGTTAATATAATTACATATATTAGTATTAAAATACACTTAGAATGAAGTTACGTATATATATATATATATATATACACACATACACACATACATACACACCCACACACACCCACACATACATATACACATATACCTATATACACACACACACACACACACACACACACGTATAATTACAATTATTAATAAAAAAAAATAAAAAAAATAAAATAAATTATATATACACATATGTAATTTCATTCTAACTGTATTTTGTTATTAATATATATATTGGTAACAAAATACACTTAGATAAATAGATATATATAAAATGTCATTCTATCTAATACAAATAACCGCAAATATATATATATATATATATATATATATCACAAGATCCAGTGCACTCACCTATCCACTAAACAGCAACTTCAATGTTGAAAGATTTTATTAGTTTTTTTTAAAAACACCTAATCTAAAATAATGGGGGTTTAGTTACATTATATGATCATACATTGCAATTGCATAAGCCTGCCACAACGTCAACGTACCCCATCTTTGGCAGGTCCTACACTAACAGCCTAATGTCTGCTCAACCCCCTTTTGTTATATATATATATATATATATTATTTTTAAACTTCTTCAATCAAATTTTCGTTTTATGTTCGGAGAGCAGCCTTTTCTTATTGGATATTGTACCTATTGGAGCTCTGGTAGTGCGCCCGGCATTGGAACATCACAAGCGTGAGTGCAAGGGACGTTGAGATAGAGATATATATATATATATATATATATATATATATATATATATATATATATATATATATATATATATATATATATATATATATATATATATATATATATATATATATATATATATATATTTCACACACACACACACACACACACACACACTATATATACATACATACATACATACACACAAAATTATTACTTAAGTATACACGTAGAATTTAATATTAAAATTCTACGTGTATATTTAAGTAATCTTTTAACATAATTATGTGATTTAATTATAGGGACACTATGGTCACCCAGACCACTTCAGCTCAATGAAGTGGTCTGGGTGCCAGGACCCTCAGGTTTTAACCCTTCAGATGCAAACATAGCAGTTTCAGAGGAACTGCTATGTTTACATTTGGGGTTAAGCCAGCCTCTAGTGGCTGTCTTCCGGATAGCCACTATAGGCGCATCTGCGACGCTGGATGCATATTATGCCTCCATCGCGCAGAGCATCCATAGGAAAGCATTGAGAAATGCTTTCCTATGGACACTTTGAATGCGCGTGCGGCACTTGCCACGCATGCGCATTCGGCTCCGCTGACGGCAGAGGGAGCTGACTTTGTCTTGGGAGTCCGGCGCTGGAATAAGGTAAGCTGCTGAAGGGATTTTAACCCCTTCAGTGCTTTGGGAGAGAGACACTGAGGGTGAGGGCACCCTCAGGGTACTATAGTGCCAGGAAAACCGCTTGGTTTTCCTGGCACGATAGTAATCCTTTAATTAAAATTTGATTGACGTGCCTCACAAACCAGGCAGAGAGTGCAGAGAATTTAATTTAACCCTGTAACTTTCCAAGACACCATAAAACATGTACATAGGAGGTACTGTTTTACTCTGGAAACTTTGCTGAACACAAATATTAGCGATTCAAAATGATAAATTGTATTACAACGATGATATTTTCAGTAAAAGTGAAGTTTTTTTTTGCATTTTTCACACACGAACGGAACTTTTACTGACGATATTATTATTTGTGATATGTTTTACCGTTTTGAAACACTTATGTTTGTGTTCAGTGAAGTCTCCCAAGTATAACAGTACCCCCCCATGTACAGGTTTTATGGTCTTTTGGAAAGTTATAGTCAAATATAAGGCTTGCGTTTCATTTTTCTCACATATGGTAGCCCAGGAATGAGAATTACACCCATAATGGCATACCATTTGCAAAAGTAGACAACCCACACTATTGCAAATGGGGTATGTCCAGTCACTTTTAGTAGTCACTTAGTCACAAACACTGGCCAAATATTATTTTTTTGCTTTTTTCACACAAAAACAAATATGAACGCTAACTTTGGCCAGTGTTTGTGACTAAGTGGCTACTAAAAAGACTAATGGGAGCAGATGTGTGGGAGGTAACGTCGCTGGCATTGGATAATATACTAATTGTGGTGAATCCCTCCCTTGCATGGGAGAATGTCATGAAAGCAGGAATGTTGCCATTAAAAGTTAGTTCTACTCCTGATACTGTGTGTCGTCCAGTGATTGGGAAAGGTGATGGGACACTATTGGATTGTATTGCTGATTTTGCTGAATATTCTCTTGGATTTACTACTTGCTCCTGCATCCTCTTAATATATTGGCGGAGTTTAGCTGTGGGAAATCAGCTCTCCGCTACAACAAGGAGTTCAGGAGTTCAGTTTTAGAGACATAAAATGGAATTTTTTTTGAGATAAAAGTAGTTTGTTTCTCCTTGATTTTATGTTAACCCACTTGAGTTGGATGTATCGGAGCTGTGCGGTGCCCACATTACAAAATCAGCAGGAAGATGCTGCTTACTGATAATAAGCAATATCGTTATGCCTTCAATATAATTATACTGACTGTTACAATCGCCAGGATATTTTAGATGTAAAAACCATAGGATTCACTGAGCTGTTAAATAAATAAAATAGCTGCAATGAATGTACGAGTTTTTATTTGCTCACAAGTCATGATCAGTCAGGGCATCAGGTGCGACATTTTGGGGAAAGCGAAGTCAGTCACCCTTTTAGTTTGTGTTACATTATGAAGACTAAAGGTGGACATCATGACTTGACCGCTTCAAATACATCTGGACATTCATAGAAACATAGAATGTGACAGTAGATAAGAACCATTCGGCCCATCTAGTCTGCCCAATTTTCTAAATACTTTCATTAGCCCCTGGCCTTATCTTATAGTTAGGATAGCCTTATGCCTATCCCACGCATGCTTAAACTCCTTTACTGTGTTAACCTCTACCACTTCAGCTGGAAGCCTATTCCATGCATCCACTACCCTCTCAGTAAAGTAATACCTCCTGATATTATTTTTAAACCTTTGTCCCTCTAATTTAACCCCTTTACTGTGTTGATTCCCTTTATATATTTAAATGTTTCTATCATATCCCCCCTGTCTCGTCTTTCCTCCAAGCTATACATGTTAAGATCCTTTAACCTTTCCTGGTAAGTTTTATCCCGCAATCCATGAACCAGTTTAGTAGCCCTTCTCTGAACCCTCTCTAAGGTATCAATATCCTTCTGAAGATACGGTCTCCAGTACTGTGTACAATACTCCAAGTGAGGTCTCACCAGTGTTCTGTACAATGGCATGAGCACTTCCCTCTTTCTACTGCTAATACCTCTCCCTATACAACCAAGCATTCTGCTAGCATTTCCTGCTGCTCTATTACATTGTCTGCCTACCTTTAAGTCATCAGAAATAATCACCCCTAAATCCCTTTCCTCATATGTTGAGGTTAGGACTCTATCAAATATTCTGTACTCTGCCCTTGGGTTTTTACATCCAAGATGCATTATCTTGCACTTATCCACATTAAATGTCAGTTGCCACAATTCTGACCATTTTTCTAGTTTACCTAAATCATTTGTCATTTGGCTTATCCCTCCTGGAACATCAACCCTGTTACATATCTTAGTATCATCAGCAAAAAGACATACCTTACCATCAAGACCTTCTGCAATATCACTAATAAAAATATTAAAGAGAATGGGTCCAAGTACAGATCCCTGAGGTACCCCACTGGTGACAAGTCCAAGCTTCGAATATATTCCATTAACTACAACCCTCTGTTGCCTGTCACTCAGCCACTGCCTTACCCATTCAACAATATTGGAATCCAAACTTAAAGATTGCAGTTTATTGATAAGCCTTCTATGTGCAACAGTGTCAAAAGCCTTACTGAAATCTAGGTAAGCAATGTCTACTGCACCACCCTGATCTATAATTTTAGTTTCCCAATCAAAAAAATCAATAAGATTAGTTTGGCATGATCTCCCTGAAGTAAACCCATGTTGTCTCTGATCTTGAAATCCATGTGTTTTTAGATGTTCATCAATCCTATCCTTTACACACAGCTCCTTATCCCTCTGTCCAATTCGGGCGACCCCAGTCTGTTTACGTAATTTTGGCACTATATCCAACTTTCTGCCCAAGTTTCAAAGAAAACTCAGGTGAGGACAAGAACTGTATTTGAAAGGTAGTGAAAAAAAAAAATCCCAACTGGGACTGAGGTAAAAATCTCCAATTCTGGCTCTTAATGGAACATTGTGAATTTTTCGATTGGGCCATCTCCATCAGTCGACAGTAAAGATCTGAGAACTTAATGGGGGGGGCCTACATAATTATTACTATGGGGATACTTATTATTTTTACAAGTTTATAGGTTTGTGATGAGGACAAACCATTTTATTATAATCTCTCCTGTTAACCAATCCCCACCCTGCTGCACGGGTCTTATATTACATTTATAAGTAATCAATGCGCCTGTTAATTCACTTCAGAATCAATAACCCAGCTGTGACCAGGGGATAGAGGTTTATATTCCATCATCTAACAGATAATAAATAATAAAAATAAGAAATATTAATATTTGAGGGCAGGAGTGGGCAAGAAAGGAGAAACATCTTTAGAAAATGAATGAAACAATAATTAATAATTTCAATAAATGGTTAGATTTCATAGATTGGGGGAGACTATTGACCAGTCATGCCCCCCAGCATTTAACCCCTAAACGAAGCACCCCTCATATAACCCCTCATCCATTAACCCATCCAGCATGTTATCCCCAAACTAAGACCTGCAGCATGGAAACCCTAATCCATATCCCCATTATATAACCCCCAAACCATAACCACCCAGCATGTACCCCTCAGCCGTTACACCCCATCATGTAACCCCCAAAACATGACCCACTACCATAAACCCTCAAACCATGTTGCCACTGTGTACCTCTCAGTAATTACCCCTCATCATGTAACTCCTGTTATTACCCCCTCCCCAGTATGTAACCCCTGTTATTACCCCTCAGCATGTAACCCCTATTACCCCCTCCCCAGCATGTAACCCCTGTTATTACCCCCCAGTATGTAACCCCTGTTATTACCCCCCAGTATGTAACCCCTGTTATTACCCCCTCCCCCAGTATGTAACCCCTGTTATTACCCCCTCCCCAGTATGTAACCCCTGTTATTACCCCCCAGTATGTAACCCCTGTTATTACCCCCTCCCCCAGTATGTAACCCCTGTTATTACCCCCTCCCCCAGTACGTAACCCCTGTTATTACCCCCCCAGTATGTAACCCCTGTTATTACCCCCCTCCCCCAGTAAGTGACCCCCTGCTGTGTGTACAGAGCTCCCCAGTAAAGCTCCCCATGGAGCAGCAGGGAAGGCACCAACCTGGCTCCTGAGCTCTCTGCAGCCTGACATTGACAGCCGGGAGAAACCACTGCGGGAAGTGGGACAGCACACCCTCATAGAGAAACCTGATACACGGCTTTATTACACCCACAGCCCTACAGCAACCCCCCCACAGACACTACACCCCCACCGCCGGCCATGGACAGCGCTCTGCCCACACACAAACCCAAATAACTGCCTTTTATTTATAAATAACCCCCCCCGCCGGGGGAGGTGAAATGGAATGTTCCGCAGCCTACCTCACACTGACACAGGGGAATCAGAGAGCAGGTTAACCCCTTACTGCCTGGACAGAGCAGAGCAGGGCTGCCTGGGGAATCAGAGAGCAGGTTAACCCCTTACTGCCTGGACAGAGCAGAGCAGGGCTGCCTGGGGAATCAGAGAGCAGGTTAACCCCTTACTGCCTGGACAGAGCAGAGCAGGGCTGCCTGTGGAATCAGAGAGCGGGTTAACCCCTTACTGCCCGGACAGAGCAGAGCAGGGCTGCCTGTGGAATCAGAGAGCGGGTTAACCCCTTACTGCCTGGACAGAGCAGAGCAGGGCTGCCTGGGGAATCAGAGAGCGGGTTAACCCCTTACTGCCTGGACAGAGCAGAGCAGGGCTGCCTGGGGAATCAGAGAGCCGGGCGTAAAGCAACCCTCACTGCCTGACACAGAGCAGAGCAGGGCTGCTTGGGGAATCAGGAGAGCGGGTTAACCCCTACCGCCTGACAGAACAGAGCAGGGCTGCCTGGGTAATCAGAGAGCAGGTTAACCCCTTACTGCCTGACAGAGCACAGCAGGGCCGCCCGGGAATCAGAGAGCAGGTTAACCCCTTACCGCTGACAGAGCAGGGCTGTCTGGGGAATCAGAGAGCGGGTTAACCCCTTACTGCCTGGACAGAGCAGAGCAGGGCTGCCTGGGGAATCAGAGAGCAGATTAACCCCTTACTGCCTGGACAGAGCAGGGCTGCCTGGGGAATCAGAGAGCGGGTTAACCCCTTACTGCCCGAGCAGAGCAGGGCTGCCTGGGGAATCAGAGAGCGGGTTAACCCCTTACTGCCCGGACAGAGCAGAGCAGGGCTGCCTGGGGAATCAGAGAGCGGGTTAACCCCTTACTGCCCGGACAGAGCAGGGCTGCCTGGGGAATCAGAGAGCAGGTTAACCCCTTACTGCCCGGACAGAGCAGAGCAGGGCTGCCTGTGGAATCAGAAGCGGGTTAACCTGCCCGGACAGAGCAGAGCAGGGCTGCCTGTGGAATCAGAAGCGGGTTAACCCCTACTGCCTGGACAGAGCAGAGCAGGGGCTGCCTGGGGAATCAGAGCGGGTTAACCCCTACTGCCTGACAGAACAGAGCAGGGCTGCCTGGGTAATCAGAGAGCAGGTTAACCTTACTGCCTGGACAGAGCACAGCAGGGCTGCCTGGGGAATCAGAGAGCAGGTTAACCCCTTACTGCCTGGACAGAGCAGAGCAGGGCTGCCTGGGGAATCAGAGAGCAGATTAACCCCTTACTGCCTGGACAGAGCAGAGCAGGGCTGTCTGGGGAATCAGAGAGCGGTTAACCCCTACTGCCTGGACAGAGCAGGGCTGCCTGGGGAATCAGAGAGCAGATTAACCCCCACTGCCTGGACAGAGCAGGGCTGCCTGGGGGGAATCAGAGAGTCGGGTTAACCCCTTACTGCCCGAAAGCAGAGCAGGGCTGCCTGGGGGAATCAGAGAAGCGGTTAACCCCTTTACTGCCCTAGAGCAGAGCAGGGCTGGGGAATCAGAGGCGGGTTAACCCTTATCGTTGAAGAGCAGAGCAGGGCTGCCTGGGGAATCAGAGAGCAGGTTAACCCCCACTGCCCGGACAGAGCAGAGCAGGGGCTGCCTGTGGAATCAGAGAGCTGGGTTAACCTTACTGCCTGACAGAGCAGAGCAGGGCTGCCTGTGGAATCAGAGGCGGGTTAACCCCTTACTGCCTGGACAGAGCAGAGCAGGGCTGCCTGGGAATCAGAAGCTGGTTAACCCCTTACTGCCAAGGACAGAGCAGAGCAGGGCTGCCTGGGGAATCAGAGAGCGGGTTAACCCCACTGCCTGGACAGAGCAGAGCAGGGCTGCCTGGGGAATCAGAGAGCCGGGTTAACCCCCTTTACTGCCTGGACAGAGCAGAGCAGGGCTGCCTGGGAATCAGAGGCGGGTTAACCTTACCGCCTGGCGAAACAGAGATAGGGTTAACCCTTCCAGCCTGGAACAGGTTAACCCCTTTCTGTCTGGGGAAACAGAGAGTGGCTAACCCCTTCCAGCCTGGACAGAGCAGAGCACACTGCCCTAACTTCAATAACATCTGTCCATGACTTTAACCTCTTCCTGCCTCATCAGCAGCAGAGCACCTGTCCACACTCTGTACAGTGCTGCCCACACTCCTGTAACACCTTCCCATCATTTCTGGGACACTTTCTCTATTGTGTTTTTAAAGGTAAATTATTATCATTCACTATTAATTATATTTTAATAGCATCAACATATTGTACAGCTGTACAGAAACAAAATACTTTCATTAGTCCCTAGCCTTATCTTATAGCTAGCATAGCCTGGACATAGCCTATCCCACGCGATGCTTAAACTCCTTCACTGTGTTAACATCTACCACTTCAGCTGGAAGGCTATTCCATGCATCAACTACCCTCTCAGTAAGTAATACTTCCTGATATTTTTTAAACCTTTGTCCCTCTAATTTAAGACTATGTCCTCTTGTTGTAGTTTTTCTTTTTTAAATATAGTCTCCTCCTTTACTGTGTTTGATTCCCTTTATGTATTTAAATGTTTCTATCATATCCCCCGTCTCGTCTTTCCTCCAAGCTATACATGTTAAGATCCTTTAACCTTTCCTGGTAAGTTTTATCCTGCAATCCATGAATACAGTTGGTATTACGATAGTATCTCCAGCTCTCATTACTTAGTACGTCAATACTTGTTATTTATTTCCACTCGGTATAATTGTGAAGAACTAAGGAATATGTTTGTGCTATAAATAATGCTGATACTACTACTACTACTACTACTACTACTACTAATAATAATAATTAATAACAATAATTAATTGTGTCTGAGGAAGCTACTCATGAAACAGGAAAGAGACTTCACAACAGGCCAAATCATAACTGACATTGAAATACGCAGTTTCACAATGTTAGTATAGTAACATTTCCTGTGCTGTCTGGCCTTGTTTAGATGGTTTTATTTTATACCAGAACAGTTTAACATGCATCCAATAGTCCTGTATTCCAAGTAATATCCGCGTGATTAGGATGCCGAATCAGAATTTATAAAATTAATCACTAATACGTGAGCAAGATTGTCAGATGCCCTTCATGCATGTTGAGATTTAAAGGAAAACTCCAAGTAACGAAAATGAACGCTGTAGTGGTTATAGTACTATGAATGCCCTGATACCCTTTCCCCATTTGAGAACAATGGACTTCATACCTGAGGTCCTCCAGTTGCTGCTCCTTGCTCCACAACTTCCGACAGAGAGCTAGATGGTGGTTTTAACATTATAGGGTCAGGAATACATGTTTGTGTTCCTGACCCTGCAGTGCACCTTTAACCCCTTAAGGACCAAACTTCTGGAATAAAAGGGAATCATGACATGTCACACATGTCATGTGTCCTTAAGGGGTTAAGTCACTTTGTTTATGCAGCCCTAGCCACACCTCCCCTAGCTGTCAATCACTCAGACACTCTACACACTTCCTGAAAAGGTGTGTTTACTTGTAACCTATCTTAACAGAGTGTAAAATTAGATAAAGAAATAAGAAATCAAGCTTCCCATAAAAATTCTCCCCGACTTGTCTGCAGTTTTAGAGGACTACATTATGGGGCCTGTAACGGATCACCTGGCACCCCGATTGGGTACCTCTGTTGATGGATGCTCCTAGCGCTTCTTGAGGATTCCAAGCACTTTAGCCAACACCACAACCACCGCAGGCCAAACCTCTCTTCCTTCAGAGCGAAGCAGGAATGAGTTTAGGAGTGATTATAGCAAGGGAATATGTAGAGCATAGCAATCCCTTGTAGCAGATTCGCCCAATATGAGACAGGACTCCAAATTGAGAGTGAAGTAGAACTGTCTAAAACTTTGTTTTACTTGGGACTAGCAATATGGTCAGTACATTAACATTGCCGTGAAAATGCAATAACATTACAAACAGTCAAATCATAGCAGGCAACATACAGTGACTTATTATAACATAATTACATATTTATAAATGGGTGGGGACGACCATAATTAACACAAAATGTCCCTCCTGCATGCAGAATTAGTGATATGCAAATCTACCCGAATAAGCAAATTACCAGTCTTGCTATTCAGGTAGTGCATATTACTGTTGCTACCAACAGAGGGCACTACACAAGCTCCATAGCCAAATCCACCTAGTTGGTAGCAATCCTCAGCAGTACAGGAGAGCAGGCAATACATCCCAGGGGCCATAGTCACATGGCAGGAGGCTGGCAATCAGTCTTCTCCAGGCACAAGTGGCGATGTTAAATTCGCCCCAGGGCCTATTCAAGTACAATGCGAGTATTTCATTTTATTCATATATTTTGTAAAATATTCAGTATTTAAATATTTAGTAAATGTATGTTTACTAATATCTGTGTTCAAGTATGTTTTTATAGCTAATAACGTGCTCTCTGTGGGCATGCTAGGTCTATGAGAATCATGCACATACAGTATTTTACTCTATACAGACTTGTTTACCTGTATTGTAGCACTGCAAAGTGTCGGAACGTTATAAATAAGATATTATTATATTGACCGTGTAACCCTGTACTTCCTTCCCTCCTCCCTTCGCAATGTTCTCATATTTTACAGAAATCGGTTCTCCATTATTTGTGAAGACATAATAGACGGTATCAATAATTCAGTAGCCTTTTCTTTAAGCGTCTGTGAAGGGAGAGGAGAGGAGAGGCTCAGTCAGTCCGGGCTTCTCATGGGAAAAGAAGCTATTTCATTAGTGTATGATGTCTCCACCTAGTGGCTAACTCAGAGATAGTCAAACATTTCATTTATTTCTAAATTTAGCAACTTGTTGCCCAGATTCATCCATTACCATGGCAACAATTGGCTAGTTTGTCCATTTCATGTTTCGATGTATGAAAATATAAGAACAATAGCTGTAGTAAGCAGCCAACTTTATTTATCGTCCTGGACACATATATTATATCTGGTATTTTGTTATTACCTGGTGACATTTTATTAATTTATTGTTGGAAGGACCCTGTGGCGAAACCGGCCTCGCCACGTGTCCTTGGAGGGGGCTGCTTGCCCGCCTCTTGCCTTTGGACTATGGACCAGACTTTATGTGAATGTGTTATACCCCAGATAGGAATCCCATGGAGCCCATTCGTATGAAACTGACTGTAAGGACTTTGGCTCCATGGCGATTAAACTGTATTTGTGTGGTCCGAGCGCCATTCACTTAATAATGTGCGCTCAGACCTGAGCTATCTGGGGATATGTGAAATGTCTGTGTGTTATGTGTAAATGTGACTTTATGTATTTTAAAGTGTTTTGTGTCTTTTGCAACCATGTGCTTAATGGAGTCTTGTGTCTATCCTGGGAGATAATTGAATTACTCTCCAGGATAGAAGACTCTGAAACTGGTTTGGGCCAGAAAGCCATGCTTCATTTAGTCACAAAGGACTTTTTACTAACTTTTGAACCCCTGGTCTGATTCATGCCATTTTTTAATATGTTGTTCCCTGAATGGATTGATTGTGAATATGTAATTTTATGTGAATGTGATGTATGGTTTTAGAGTTATGAAAGTTGGGTAGAAAGTATGTTTTAACTGTATGTGTAATTGAGTTTCCTCTCAGGATAAGGGGAGGGAATATGTGGGATGTAACTGTGATGTGATTGGTTGTTTTGTAACGCCCTGTGGGCTGTACTATGTTTGTGGATTGGGAATAAAAGAGACTGTATGTGACAGTACAGGGAGTTCCTGTTTAACCCTCAAAGTGAAGTGTCGTCTCATTATTGGGGGAAGGATTTATTGTATGCTGTTCCAGTTTGACTGCTAGGAGGGTAAACCTATTCGTATGGTTCCTATTCAACTGTCTACAGCATTCATATGCTTGAGAGATTCATATGCTTTCTCCGGTTCGGTGATTGTGGTGTCTGCTGCAGTGCTTGGAGTCCTCAGGAAGCGCTAGGAGCATCCTTTAACGGAGGTACTCAGTCGGGGTACCAGGCGATCCGTTACATTGGTGGCAGCGGTGGGATGGCGTCCTAGTGCGAGGTAAAGCAGCTCAGAGACACAGTCGTTTGGATTTACAAATTGAAGGCGACGCTAGTGTTTATACAGCGTCCCTGTCTACATAAAGATTTGGGAAAATGGGGTTCGTGGATCCTTGGGCACCTCGCACACCTGAGGAAGAGGGTGAATTGGACTGGAGAGATATTGCCCGGCAAGAACTATGGTACAATGCCCTGGAGGAAGTCCAGTATCAACGGCAGCAGCGCCTTCCTGGTGTCGCATACCGGTTGGAGGAACAAATGGCCTGGCGGATGCCGCTTCTGGGAGACCAACCCGGAGGGCAGCAGGTCAGACAACTTGAGTACCTCGTGGAAAGGGAACTGAGCCTTGACGCCTCATACCGGGCACTGTGGTGGTGCACTGTCCAGCCAGAGACATGGAGGGCAGAGGGCATCCAGCCGGAGGGGGAGAACTACACTAGCCCTGGCCTGTTGTGGAAGGCCTTAGCAGAAGACGTCGACTTTGGCAGTCCAGCAGAGTCACGGTACTGGGCTATTTTTTATTACCGGGGTGAGATGGTACAGGGCCCGAGATCTATGGGACTGGGACAAGACCTCCACCGTTTGGCTGCCATGGAACGACAGCTAGAGATGGACTATGTGGAACTACTAAACTCATGTCAGCCACAGGGCATAGACACAGAACAGGAAAACTGGCTGGGAGACCCAGACCTGCCAACCTACAGCTGGGAAAACGCAGCCGAGGTACCCCCTGCTTCACTACCAGCGGCAGAAGTAGGGGACCTCATAGACTGGTCCTGGGAAGACCCACAGATGGCAGGTGGAGATGGGATGGCGGTCTCTCTACCGGCCCTACAGGGATGCTGGGCGGTCGGCCCAGATCTCCAGCGGCAGTGTGTACCCCAGGGAGCAGAAGGTGCAGTCCTTCCTCCCCAGCGGCAGTTTGTACCCCAGGGAGCAGAAAGTGCAGTCCTTCCTCCCCAGCGGCAGTGTGTCCTGCAGGAAGCGGAGACAGTCGGTCTCGCTCCCCAGCAGCAGGGCAATATATTAAAAGGGGAGACAGTTGGTCCCCCTCTCCAACAGCAGAGAGAGTGTCAGGGAGAGGAGCTTGTTATCCCCTCTCCCCAGCGGCTGAAAGTATGTATGGGAGAGGAGCTTGTTACCCCCCCTCCCCAGCGGCAGCGTGTACCCCAGGGAGATGAAGGTGCCGTCCTTCCTCCCCAGCGGCAGTGTGTACCCCAGGAAGCAGAGACCATCTGTCTCGCACCCCAGCCGCAGGACAAAATATTGAAAGGGGAGACAGTTGGTCCCCCTCTCCACCAGCAAAGAGAGTGTCAGGGAGAGGAGCAGGTTACCCCCTCTCCCAGCGGCAGTCTACAGTTCAGAGAGAGGAGCTTGTTACACCCTCTCTCCAGCGGCAGCCTAACCCACCAAGGGGAGATGTTAAGCCCCACAACTATGCAGATGGGACCGTAGTCTCTGCACTTGCAGCCCCAGGGGCAGGGACGGTCGGTCCTGTCCCCCAGCCACAGAGCAGTGTATCCAGAGGGGAGACAGTCGGTCTCCCCCTCCCCCAACCAGGCTCCAACCAGGCTACTTCAGTGGTAGCGCTGGCACCCGGGCAGAGTACCGCTGGTCTCTGCCCACTCAGCAACCCACCAAGGCAGTCTACCAGCCCCCCGCACAGCTGTGGTGAGGCACCTGGACATGGACAAGTTGCTATTTTATCCAGGTGTAGTAACAAGTTATTGTGGGTGGGCTGTATTGCTGTTTGTGCTTCGTGGGTGGGTTGCTGGACTAACCAGGGCACTGACCGGCAGGAGGTCAGATACCCTGTTAGTCTGGATGGTAAAGGGGAGAAATGTGGCGAAACCGGCCTTGCCACGTGTCCTTGGATGGGGCTGCTTGCCGCCTCTTGCCTTTGGACTGTGGACCAGACTTTATGTGAATGTGTTAACCCAGATAGCTATGCCATGGAGCCCATTCGTGTAGTTAAAGACTTCGGCTCCATGGCAATTGAACTGTGTGAATAGGATCTGAGCGCTATTCGGTAGTTTTGTGCGCTCAGATCCCAGCTATCTGGGGATATGTGAAATGTCTGTGTGTTATGTGTAAAATGTGACTTTATGTATTTTAAAGTGTTTTGTGTCTTTTGCAACCATGTGCTTAATGGAGTCTTGTGTCTGTCCTGGGAGATAATTGAATTACTTATCTCCAGGATAGAAGACTCTGAAACTGGTTTGGGCCAGAAAGCCATGCTTCATTTAGTCACAAAGGACTTTTTACTAACTTTTGAACCCCTTGTCTGATTTGTGCCATTTTTGAATATGTTGTTCCCCTGAATGGATTGATTGAGAATATGTAATTTTATGTGAATGTGATGTATGGTTTTGAGTTATGAAAGTTGGGTAGAAAGTATGTTTTAACTGTTTGTATAATTGAGTTTCCTCTCAGGATAAGGGGAGGGAATATGTGGGATGTAACTGTGATGTGATTGGTTGTTTTGTACCTCCCTGTGGGCTGTACTATGTTTGTGACTGTAATAAAAACCAGGCTGGGTGACAGTACCTGAGTTCCTGTTTAACCCTCAAAGTGAAGTGTCGCCTCATTATTGGGGGAAGGATTTATTGTATGCTGTTCCAGTTTGACTGCTAGGAGGGTAAACCTATTCGTATGGTTTCCTATTCAACTGTCTACAGCATTCATATGCTTGGGAGAATTTATTTGTTTCTCCGGTTTGGTGATTGTGGTGTCTGCCAGAGTGCTTGGAGTCCTCAGGAAGCGCTAGGAGCATCCTTCAACGGAGGTACCCAGTCGGGGTGCCAGGCGATCCGTTACAGACCCTTAAAATGATATATACGTTGTATGTTATTCCTGGACATTACTTCGGCATATTAACCTAAATATAGTTGTCCTCTCACATTCCTGTGTTTTTCTTTGTGTTTTATCACACGTAGCATAACATTGTAACTATCATTTGGCAAATGCACAGACATTTTAAACAACTTGTTGCTTTTATTCTTTAATTTCTGTTTTTATCACTAAATTTACCACAATTCCCCACGCAGGGACTGGCCTAGTCCTTCACCTTCGATTCGCAATATTCATGCTCTTATCATTTTTAAGGTGATCTTGTCTTTGTGTCACTCACTTTACCAGAGACAATGTGCGTGGTGGATCCTGCACCATGGCTGTGAATTAACTGGTGCGGGACTCTTAAATTAACATGTCTACAACGTCTACAGGCTGGTGTTTGTGGAGGGAGCTGCTCACTGCCGGCTGCTGCCTCTCTCCCTGCGTTTTCTATATGAAGTTGGGAGGAAATGACCGTCCGACCGTCACTTCCTCCCAGCATCCCATACTACAGGGACCCGGTCGTGCAATTAATCGGCCTTTGCAGCAATGCCCATCTGGTGGCCCTTAGGGCAACCCGATGGGAAAATCACTGTGGAACCCCAATTTTGTGGAACACTAATTGGGAATCGCTGGGCTAGGCACATCCGATCTGGGCATTTTTTGGACACTTTACAGTCTGGGATGTAAAATTACTGTATGAAA